GTTACATATTCCTTTCCTGTAACCTTTCTCTGTCTTTACACTTGGATATTTTTGAGGAACTTGTAGAAAACTACAAGAAGCTTAAAATAAATTGTCAGAAAATTCTTATAGAGAGGACACACCACAGATATCCAGAGCTGCTCATTTATCTTCAGAAACCTACAGCATGTAGAGACAACATAAGAAAACATGATACATAAATCAATGCGAGGTCAAACAATACTTGTACTGGTACCAGCGCTGAGATCCAACACCATCATCAATCTTTTATTTTCTCTTTTATTTGTATGTGCTCTCCTCTCTTCCCCTGTCACTTCAGGATACAGTTCAGTACACACTTCTTGTGAACATGCAGAAATGCATGCTTGCGTAAGCGTGTGTGTGGGTGCATGTCTCTATAAGAATGAGGATGTGAGGATAATTTAATTATGGACCAGATAAAGTGGGTTACTGAGGTTAATATCCAGCATGCACTCTGCTCCTCTCTGGACACAGTAATTGCTTTAAGCACATTAGGAACTATATTGACTGTGATGGCCTTTTAAGATGTTACATTTCTGCTGCTTAGTGTCAGACAGGAGTCATCCAGCTGTGCTTTCTGTCTCTGTCTTCCTCTGTCTATTTCCTTCCCTCTCAGCTTGCCCTCTGCTAATCCTGTCACTCTCTTCTCTCTGTATGTGTCTCTTTTCTTGTATGTGCTTAATTGAGGGCTTGATAAATATGATGACAATTGTATAGTGTCTCATCCTTAGAGGCGGCTTGATGAGTTTTGACTGGCAGGTGATTAACTCCTCTTAACCTACAGAGTCATTTGTCCTCGGTGGAACAGTTCCACTAATGACATCATAAAAGGCTTCTTGATGTCATTCCAGAGAGAAGCTCCAGAGAGAGAGGGCTTCCAACAACTCCTTCAAAAAAGTGCAGCTCCCTCACTTCTCTTCTTCTCAGCTAAGATCAATCCTCTCAACACCCCCTCAGTAGATCTCTACATTTTCACTCAACTACTGTAGGCCTCTTAATGAGGATGGAGGTGAATGGAAGAAGTTATTAAAATATCTTCACTTCCCTCATGGGACCTCTAAAGAGGAATTATATGCAACTAAGTGCACTTACAGCCCCAGTCAGAGTTATTTCACATTTCTGTTGCCATAAATCCACATCCACTGCAGTCATGACTGGGATGGAAAATTATATCTGGCCCATAAAGAATTTGGTGCTCCTTTTTTATAAGGGATCTGCAGAAAGATTTTCATCAGAACTTCAGATGAGGAAAAAAGTGGAAAATTACAGATCAGAGTGATGGAGGACCAGGATGAGAGACAGAGGGAAAGTGATGGAGAGGAAAGGAGAAGCAAATAAATGACAGGGAGGGGAGCCAAGCAATAAGTACAACATATATAGGCCAATGTGAAGAAATAAATTATGTCATACCTGCATGGATCAATGGCTGTACTGTCCCTCTAAAGGGGACTCTATAAATCACATCATCATTCCTCTTATTACATCTACATATGTGTCCATATACACACACATTCACACACAAATCCACACACTTCATAGCTATCTCAATCAGTGTGAGTTAAGACGTATGGCTGTAAAGTCTCTGTCTCAAGCTCACTATGTAAATGTCTTCTTCCAGATGTCTTGTCCCATCACTTTGCAAAGCAAGGAAAAAATCACTTTGTTAAGATAGCACTATCTGCTAAAGAGGAATCAAGTGGCTTGATTTCCCATCATGTCCACTCATATTATAAAGGAAGGATGTGATTAGTTTCACTTAGTATGACTAATAGTTGAACCAGCTTCTTGGTCAGTATCTTTGCTAATAGTCCCATCTTGTGGCAAATTAAATAATTACACCTAAAGGATGATGTGGGGGGGGAGTCATATACACACACACACACACACACTGGCAATACCTATTATTGGCATAATTAACAGACTAAACCTAGGTTGTTATTACATTGTTATATTACAGTTGTGGTTACTTCTTTTATATTTGATTCTATTTCTTAATTACATGGCTGTATTAAGGCCGTTGTGACCCCAGGAGTCCTCCTAGCAGCCCACAACTTTTGATTATGAATCAAAAACTCTGCAGACAGGACATTTGAATTACGCTGAGCTTTAAAATTCATTCCTTGATACAGACTGTGTAAAATTATGATTGAATTAAATAAAACCCATAAAATCACATTTGATGTGGCACCTGCACTCCATTTAATTTAAATTCTTTGAATGCTGAAACTACAGAGTAAAACATTTCAAAGTAAGTATATTGATTACATTTTTTACACTGTAGGAGGAAGTTTATCTCTGTCTGTTACAGTAAATTGGTTGTTGGTGCTCCATGACATGTGGCCTGTAGAGATGGAAACATTTAAGATTTGACTTGACTAATTTTATTTATTTTTTCCTTTTTAGATAGATCTACAAACTGTATGTCGCTTTTCTTTATTTGGTCACTGTGCCTCTTTCTTCCCCCTCTCTCTCCTTCTCTCTAGCTCTGGTTCTCTGTTTCAGTCTGTTGTATGTTCAAGGGGTCTTGTCCTGGCTGCTGCACCACCACAAGCGTACTGTGACATCTTTTGTTGTCCATCATGAGTGCTGTGCCATGGCTGCTTCAATCTAAGCTTGTATACCCCCCTCACTCAGTCTCTGTCCTGTTAGTAGCTGTCTCTTTCTGAGTCTGTCCAATATGGCAGCAGTGTGACAATTATATTTATCTGTCCATACAACATGGCTGCCAAACGTGGTCCCTTGTTCACCTAAAATGGCAGACTCTGGTCAACCTGACCGGTTGGCTGTCCATCACACATAGCCATCTGTTCGTCTAACGTTGCTGGCCGATCTTTGTATGTTCTCTCTCTTGGTTTAAGCGCTGGGCCATCCACTTATTTCCCTGATATGAATCAAAGGCATGGCTATAATTTTTGATAAATTAGAGAAAGGTACATTGTACTTTACAGTTGAAAAGTTTCAGTGTGCCAACAAACTGTCTCTTGTCCTGGCAGAGAAATTGACGTGGGATGCTGTGACACAGAAGTTGTCATGTATAGCTGTGAAGAAGATGAAGACCATGCTGTACTAGACCCTCATCAATGGTGATGCCTCTGCACCACAAGTTGTTGATCTCTTTGGAGACATCAGATATGCACTTCTGTCCATGTCATTAAGTCTTTACTTTTTGTACTTATGATAGACCCTCTTAGTTTTAACTTAGATGCCCAACCTTAGGAAACTGAAGTTGGAGAAAACAACCTGGTGATGCAAATGGGACCATAACCGACCAGAGATAAGGAGACTGGCTATAGATGTCTGCAGCAACCTGTTTGGTCCTGAGAGTTGAGACTGAGTTGATGAGATCTTGAAGGGACTGTATCAGCTGAGGGAAGCTCATTATTGTCATTATTTTCCATGATGAGGTGATGAGATTGACAGCAGTGATGACTATGAAAACTGGATTGCCAAGTGTACAGGCTGATAGCATGTTTAATTATTATTCCAGCCAAAGCTGGCAGCTGTGCAGAGGCATAAAAATGTAAACGATTATCAAAATAGTTGACAGTTAATGAAGCATCAGATATTTCATAAGCGTAGTTTGTGTAAAATTTCGATTCATAAAAATTGTAACTGAAATGTGTACTGAAAACTACTAATGTAAGGCTGAAAAGGCCAAGGTTACTATATATTATCTTTATTAGGTTGCTGTTGTTTTATCATCTGTTTAAGACGACATAACAGCTACAATATATCCTTGTATTTCCATATAGTCATCATAGATTAAGATGTTTTAATATTACCTTATTACACTTTAAAATACATGAAGGTGCCAGTGGGCAGAGAGTCTGATAGTACCCCAGGCGTTGTCCAAGTCTTCATAACATGACTGTTGGAGCATTAAAGTGACCTTATAAAAAAAAGGGGGGGGGGTTTCAGTCTCCAGGCATTATTTTATTAAACCAAAAACAATGCAAAAATTTAAACCAGTTAAAAACAGAGCACTGTGACAACTTTTTTTTGACCAAATGTAAAATACAGAGTCAAAAGAACAGATAAACGGTATCAGTTGATTTGGTACATTTGAGACCTTGGACATAAGAACTTGTGTGTGTGTGTGTGTGTGTGTGTGTGTGTGTGTGTGTGTGTGTGTGTGAGTGAGTGAAGTGTGAATAAAGTGACAGGAAAGAAAGGAAAGTGGTCACGGTACAGTAGGTTAATTGCTTTGTTAATTTTCAAACTGTGTTTTTGTGAATGCATCACTGGAACATCTGTCAGACACTCTTTTCGGGTATTTTCTGATCTGCCTAGGCCAGTTCATAAAATTGCGTGTGTGCACCACAAATGTAGTGAAGAATATGCAGGCTTGACCACCTTTCCATTTAGATTTAGTTGGCAAAACTGAAAAAGCCGTTAATGGGAGCTGCAGTAAAATGTGAGGTAAAAATCCATTGTGAGGTTTTGCTGCACATCATTCCTGACTTTATTACAGCTGGTATCATTTATTATTTTTTTTAAATCGCAACACAGAAATACCATAGGGTACTGTACATCTCATGGCTTTTACAAGGACCGGCGTTTCCTTCTCTTGTGTCTTAAGATGGGAGGAAACCGTGAGGAAGCAAAAAAAAAAAAAAAAAATGCCGCGAAGGTTGGTCTCATGTATCCTCGGCCACCTCAGAGACCTTTATAAGAGATTTGGAACGATCCCATAGAAAGTTATTCTGCAGGATGACAAATGGAGATTCTGCTGTAGGCAAACCGTTCAGTCGTTGCTTTTTTCATCCAGAGTGGATATTAACAAAGCACTGGGGATGAACTTAATTCAGAAGTTACATGAAAACTGAGACAGATGTGGAAGCCCCCTATATTTAAAAACGTGTTAAGGAAAGTGAAAGGAGGGTTTGAAAACTGATATGCCTGTTCAGAAACAGCAGTGAGCATGATGTCCATTGTTTTTATCGGAATGTTCTCTATAACGCTACGTTGCATCGTTACGGCGTGCACACTGTGAGAAAAGCCACTGATCCAGCTAGAAACAACATTTGGTCCGAGCACCAACTTACAGAATACAAACCACCTAAAGCCATATACATACGGGCATGTGTCTCACAGAGATGATGTCATCAGCAGCTGCAGGTGCCCGCTTTCATTTGTAGTAAAGAGAGAGCGCTGATGAAGGTGGGCATCGGCCATGTGGTTAGTGTGTGTGTGGTTAGGAGAGAGACAGCGAGGTGAAGTTACATGAAGTGAAGCAAAAGTGGAAGGTAAGGCTGCAAAAAAAAGTGTTTGCAGCTGTTTCAGAGCGTCAGCGTTAGACAGCAATACAAGGAAGAGAGGGAGTGAGCAATAGAGGAAGAGGCAGAGAGAAAGTGGAAAAAGACAGACGGACGAGAGGCTGCATTTATTCGCTTGTTATCGATCTTACTGAAAGGCTTCCTGTGTCAGCACCATGGGAAAATCAGGTAAGTGGGAACTGCACCCTGAGGATTTTAACTGTATTGTATCAATTTGGCCTGATTTAGAGCTTTGCCCCAGTGAAACTATGTGTGTGTGTGTGTGTGTGTGTGTGTGTGTGTGTGTGTGTGTGTGTGTGTGTGTGTGTGTGTGTGTAAGTGTCTGTGCTTGCTTCTTTACTGTGCTGCGTGTTTGTGAACATTTGCTGTCTCTGGGAAATAACAGAAAACGACTTCTTCATTTCTCCACAGATTTCTCATCCTCTATAATGGTGCTTCTAGTAAGACGTAAATTGTTTTTGCATGATTCTTAATTGAGACATTTCCTTAATTTTGTGGAACATCTTCACATAGAAGTAATCAATCAGTTTGTTGAAGCCTCCTGCCAGCCGTGGCCTTGTTGTTTTTGTGATAGGACTTATAGCTTTTCATTATTAATCTCGCGTATCTACTGGCAGCATCAGTGTTTATATTGTGTTTGTATGACTGTTTCAATGTGGCTATTGTCTGTGAGCACTGGAGGGATTGTAGGACTTATGAAAAGGCCGCGTGGGGGGGGTGGCCGAGGGGCGCGGGGGGGGGGGGGATGATGTGGATGACGTTCTCTACTCTGGATTCATCATCTGTCACGGAGTTAGTACTTACTGACACTGACTCTGAGGTCAGCCAGTCGGTAGGTGATGCGACTCAAACTCGGATTTCAGCTTGAGTTTGTGTTTCGCTCTTGTGTACGAGTCTTCATGTTGTATCACCATGTTTCCTTTGTCAGATTTCTCTCTCTCTCTCTCTGCCTGCATCACACTGTCCTGTCTGTTTCTTAGCATCAAAACAGTTTGCTGAGGAGCTGCTGCGCTGCCATAATGAATACAGGAAGAAGCACCAGGCCCCTCCGCTCAAGTTGGACAGCAAGTTGAGCAGAGAGGCTGCACGGTGTGTTACTGCACACACAGATCAAATTAGAACCTAATTAGCAGGGAGGACACACACCAGTGAACCATTCATTGTCAGTTTGCTCTGGGCACCAGTGACAGTTCCAGCTTTGCTTGTCAGATGAAATAAGTACAAAATATAATGCAATATTGATGGTCTGGGTTTGTTTATATTGTGATTACAGGTTATGTTGAACATGTGTTGCCTCTAATTGCAGCCATATTAACATTTCATTCAAAGGAGGTTTGAGTGAAACATCATTTGCAGACTTTGCACATCATTATTACCAAATAAGTTCAGATGTTATTGAAGAGAAAATATTGTGCTGAGTAAATTCAGACTTGTTTGATGCCACCTGAAGGTTAAATATTGTATATGCTATTAACGTCTATGGTTGAGTTTGGAGATAATCTGCCCCTGTTATGTGTAGCTCAGGTCACTGGAACATGACAAATGGTGCTTTTACCTCTTTCTGTGTCAACCAACTTTAGTGTTTACCAAACTTTAGTGTTTCACCCCAGGAGGAGGGTTGAGGCATGCGTTTCCCATATGCAGTGTCATGTCTTTGGAATAAGATGTATATTTAGAATAGAAATAAAATTTAGATTTAGAGTATAATCCAACAATATGTAAAAAAAAAAAAGATTTGTAATTGAAAAGTTGAAGAAGTTTATCCTTTCCCATCCAAAAAGCTTCATTAGCTCTGCTGGGTGTTTCCTGAGCTATGGGTTAATATATACTCCTTTGTAATTGTACTGAACTACAGAGCTTCACACCTTATTAAGTCTGTGGGAATGCTGTTTCACCAATCCGGTATATTACGCAAGTATCAAAAGCAGGTTTAGAGGATCTGGTTTTTCTGCCCACACTGAGCGTCAGCGTTAAGGCTCTCTCACGCTACTTATCGTGGGGATGGAGGACTCTCAGTGGAAATGCAGCAAGCTTCTAAAAGAGAGACTTCCGGGAAAGCCACATCTGAAAAAGTGATAGGGAGGTGACAGTGGTGCGGTGGGTAGAGCAGTCGTCTCCCAACCGGAAGGTTGAAGGTTCGAATCTCGGTGCCTGCAGTCCACATGTCAAAGTGTCCTTGGGCAAGACACTGAACCCCCCCCCGATGGTTAGAGCCATCGGTGTGAGTTGGTGCCGCAGATGGCTGCCATCGGTTCTGTACTGGAAACAAATTCCTTGTGTGTAACATACTTGGCCAAATAAAGGTGATTATTATCATTATCATAAGCTATAAAGTATAACCCACTCATACTGGTAATTTGTCCAGTGCAGAAGTGAGCATGTAGCAGAATTCATAGTGAAACAGCTTATTTATCTATCTGGACTGCTTTTCCTGTAGGAAACCCACTCCTAGCCAGTCAGGCAGCATATAGACAGATAACATACTCACATCCACAGCTACAGGCATCTTTGAGTCACCAGTTAAACTAACCTGCATGTCTTAGGACTGTGGAAGGAAGTCAGAGAAGTCAAAGGAAAGCCACACAGGGAGAACATGCAAACCCCGGTCAGCCATAAGGTTTTGTCTTTCTCCACAGTTACGCTGAAAGTCTGGCCAGCACACGGATCCTGAAACACAGCGAAGAGTCCAGTAGAGGGAGCTGTGGAGAGAACTTGGCATGGGCCTCCTATGATCAGTCAGGTACACACAGTGGCCACTTATTAAGTAAACCACCAGAATGATTATGTGTAAATGCTCAGTGTCTTTCTCAGGCACTTTAACTTAAACTCTTGGTCCTCCTTAGGTACTTGTATGTTTGTAGGACATAAATGCAGTAGATGTAATAAGATGCATCTCTCAGTGGACACAGACATTTATTCTTTGAGATTCCTCGTACTGACTTTCCCATTCCAAAAGTGAACAGCTGGGATCCATTTCCCCCTCCACTCCACACAGTATTTAGGACATCAGACACCATGAGTCATAGCAAAAATATGTCAGTGCAGGATGGTGTTTTTCATGAAACATCTCGTACAGTGCAACAGTGACAAAAAGGCGAGCATTTCAGAAAATGTGTCCTAAAGAGATGTGAGGCACCAGAGTGCAGTCTCCTTACATCACCATCATTCTGATTAATATGTACGACACATGTCTGATCTGATTGTCCTTTATGTTGACATGACACTTTGTCCTGTGCTCATGCAGGGACAGATGTGGCAGACCGCTGGTATGATGAAGTGAACCAGTACCACTTCAATCGTCCTGGATTCTCCTCTGGCACTGGTTTGTCCGTCTCACACGAGTCACACATGGGAGTGTCTGTCGCTCAGTCTCACTTCTTTTCATATTTCAGGCAGTGGCAAATCTCCTAACCTACACTATAATAACAACAAACTGAACAAAATGACGAGATTGAATTTTCCGTTTACTTGTCAGATTTCTCCGTCTCAGCATCAGGTTTACCCAGGCATGGGGAAGATTGCCATTATTCTCAGGCTGATGTCACACCTCAGTCAGTGTGTGAATGTCTGACTCAGTGACCGGCCATGGGGAAACTGAGGGGAATCACGGTCCCCAGTTTCACTCTGAAGTCTACATGTCATTTCTGGTCGCCTGTAATTCCTCCAGATGGTTTCATATAGGCTCCGACTCCAGTGTGCATGAGTCAGTTTAACTTAATCACACAAGAAGCAGATCGCTTCTAGCAGCTCATCACAGTGATTCACACTGACTCGTATAAAGCTTCTGGATAGAGAAAGAAGGCAGTAAATTGTACATGGCAAAGGGAGAGATTAGAGACTGAGAGGGGAATTAGGATTCCTGCATGTGTAAATATTTAGAAGAACTTAAGTCTGTGAACATTCCTAACAGTCTGTTTCCTTCTCACTCACTCCAACTTCTCCTGCCCTTCCTCTTTCTCCTTTCATTCACCATGCAGGCCATTTTACAGCGATGGTGTGGAAGAGCAGTAAAAAGCTGGGAGTTGGTAAGGCCACCGCATCAGATGGTTCTTCCTTCGTGGTGGCCAGATACTTCCCAGCTGGGAATATCACCAACAAGGGACACTTTGAAAACAACGTCCTCCCAGCTAAAACTACCTCTTAAAGAAGTTGAGATCCTCGACAGAGTTGACTTGGGCCCAAAGGCATTTATTCTGTTTTCCAGGAGATAAGTTAACTGCCTGCCCTGCTATGGAGAATACTCAGGAGAGCACCACTCCTGGCCTTGTAGAGACCCATTCTACAGTCCTGTATGGATTTTAAAAGATGAAATGCACTCTGGCTTGAAGTCCCATGTTTGTAATTCTAAAATGAAACTGCTAACAAAACATTTCCAATGACCATTTGGACTGATTAATCTCACGTTTAATGGTCATTTACTTTGAGAGTATTTAATTCATTAATGCCAGTACTTTTATATTTTGACCCTGAAAAACATCATAGCAGTATGCCTGTATATGTGTAAAAATGGGAATTAATTCAGCTGAAAGGACAGGAAATAAAAATTTACATGTGAAGTCACTGGGGGCTATTGGAAGGTGATTACCCAGCATGCTTTGTATGAGTTTGTTATTGCCTCTACTTGTTAAAGCAGAGTTGTGCTGTCACGATAGTTTTGTATTCTAATTGATTTTGTACAATAAAGTTGATTGAAACGCATTTGTTATTGTGTGCCATTACTAGAGAGTGAGAAACAGAAAAAAAATAGTTTCATTTTTTAAATGGCACAGTGACTTTTTTTTTTTTTTTAAATGTCTGACACTGCTTGATAGCAAATTATAATTTGTCCATGGAAACAAACATTTTGGATAATGTACTGTAAGCAGTTGTAAACAGATTAATTGCCTTATTTTTCAAAAGTTGGTATTAAAAGGTATTAAAAGTGAATATGTGATGCATAAATTACAAAAAAATTGAGCAACACAAAATATATCTTTAATGTCTCTGCAAAAAGTCACAACTACGTTATAGGTAGTGGTAATCTTACAATGCAGCAAAAAAAAAAAAAAAAAACCCTGAAATTTGTACTCTAGGCCGTGCCTATATTCCACCCAGCCTATATATAAACTGTGTGTCATGACAAGCCGTTAACATTTGAAAATGTTAGGGTGTTAACCTGTAGCAGCAACAAAAATCAATAATTTAGACTATGGTTATTGATTGGTTTGAGAGTGATTCAATGTCTTTGTTGAATGTTCACTTTGTTTTCACCTTTTAAGATAACTTTTAAATATTTAATATTAAGTTCTACATTTAGATAGGATGTAATGATTTTTCTAAATGTTTACTTTTGGCTTTTGGACACTAGCAGTAACAGGCCAAACAAAATTTCTAAGCTGGTAGGAGAGTGGGAGACTGGCAAAAAAATAAATAAATAAAAAAAAGCATGGGAGTTGTCAGATTTGTATTATTTTCAATATTATATTTTGTACTGTATGTAAATTCCCAGTCTAAACCCAGAATATTGAATAAGAGGAACATTTTTAATTCAGGCTTTGTGAATTTGCAGAAAGTTAAGAAATGTGCTTCTCCTGATGTTAAAACACCAACCACCACCTATGTGCAGTGTTTTCACTAAAATCAGTCTCATGGTGCAGTCACAGCCCACACTGGAACAGACTTTATTTAGCAGATATTGGGGATGCAACATACAGTAGCAGCGATACAGAAGAGTCAGTGGCGTCTAGGCTTTATAGGCTAGAAGAAGGGGGTCAGGATTCAAAATGTCCTCCACTCACATGGTCAGCTCCTATAAGCAAGTGGGAAAGAAAGATGGAAGAGAAAAAAAAGTCACATGAGCAAAATGAAACTGAAAACATTTTTTTAAAAAGTATTATTGCTGTATATGCCTCATTAAACTATGTGCCAGTGTTGTTATTTCTATTGAATAAAAACATGAGCCATAGAAGATGTCACACAGCTTAAAGAAACAAAAGTAATGTTTTCCACCTCAACAAGAAAAAAAATTATCTGCGTCACTTTGACAACTCTAGCACTTATCTCAGTGTGAGTTGTTGCTGCCACCTAGTGGGCACAAATCTGCATTGACAACCTACAGTACTGTAGAGGTTGATCGGTTACTTGTCACTTGTCCTCTGCTCTTTCTTATCTCTTCCACCCCCTCTCCAAGCACTCCCTACTCACTGGCTATGACTCATTATTGTGTTCACCACCCTCCCTCTCCCCTTCTGCTCTTTCCTTCCCCCTCCCTCCTCCTCACCATGATAGCATTCACAATGTCATTCTTGTTGTGTTTCAGTGCACGGACAGCCTTGGCTCGGGACACATTGGCCTGAGCCATCACCAGCTCAATGTCTCGCTGCTCAAGACCTCCCTCATCCACCTGATGTACAGAAAGGAAGGAAAAGACAGAGACACAGGGATAAAAATGATATAGTTAACAACAACAAATGATTTTAAAGACCTCTGCAAAGTGCTGGCATTAGTGTGATGTGTAGGTGCTCAGAAACAATACCTCCTCTTCCTCCTCTTCACTCTCTTCCTTAATGGTGAGGCTGGGTGGGACAGGTGGAGCCAGGGGAGAAGAGGCCACAGGTACCTTGAATTTCTCTGCAGCTGCTTTGTGAGCCTGCTGCGAAAGGTCCTCAATCTAAAAGAAAGGTGAGGAGAGATTACAATACAATAAATGCACTAAAGCTTAAACAACAAACAGAGAAAGGAAGACTTGCCTTTGCCTCTCCAAATACAATATAAATGTCTGATGCAGGGCTTTTGAATACATCTGGCCTACTGATGACAAACAAGATACTCTTGGACTTCCTAATGGTGATTCTGGTCACACCATGGACCGGCTTCAGACCCAGTTTAGACATGGCCTACATACACGTACAACAACAGAGACAGTGAGAAATAAAGACCAACACAAATTAATACAAATTAATACTGTTCTACACAAACAATAAAAGAACTGTTGCATAATATCATCTTTGAACCCTTTATCCATGTGTTTTCATTATCTTCTGACCTTGCGGGCCTTCTTCTCACTGCGGCTCTGTTTTGGTCTGTTCAGCCCTTCATCTGCAGAGGAGATAGACTAAAGGAAAAAACACAAATCAGCTACTTTACTGCAATAAACAATGAAATGTTCATATGTTAATTTAGCTTATTTGCCAGTTTGCTGTTTTGCTATATGTCAGCATTGCTAACATCTCCAAAAGTGACTCACATCACACACAGTTAATCTTTATACAAAGCAAATTTTTAGTGCTATTTCGCCACTGCCAGACAGTTTTGTTTTTTCTAGCAAACACAGGAAGTTATTATTTTTATGCTTATATTGGCTACAGCAACATTTCATATGTAAAACAAATATCATGACCAGTATTAGCCACTATTGCTAAATAAAAGACCAATATCTAAAGATTACTGTTTCATCAACTGAAAAAGTAAAGCAGGCAGAGTAAAAGCAGGTTAACACTAGAAAGTGCCTGAATACAAAGAAAGTTATATAGCACGGCTATTTCTATGCAGAAGGCCATACACAACCTGTAAGTATTTTCATGTTTTATATGCTCTATAGCTTTCCTTTTAGCCTATCACATCAAAATCTCTACATAACACACTCTTTGAGTTTCCACCAGATTGTGAATTCATTATGTCAAAAGCTTGAAAACCCTAATTTTATTTCTCAGTATAATCCCAGTGAAATCCCAATATGCTATAAAGTAAAACATGTTATAGATATTAAATAATCTTTTTTACCCATATTTCCAACAGAGCAGCATGAGCACGCTCACCTGGGGCGCCAATGGTCTCAGTGGCTCTGGGTCCTCTAACTCAGGCACTGACCCCTCACTCTCAGACTCATTACAGGAAGCCAGTATGGAATCTACACATGCCCATATTCAGCATACACACAAGTACATGTAAGTGAAGTATATCATAGCCTTAACTGCCATAGAAACAAATCATCATAATGAGGGTCATTACTGAGTCTACCTCATTAGTGGTTACTGTACACTAAGGAAGAGCCTTCATTATAAAAATTTAAAAACTCATCAACACCAGAGAACTGAATTAGTCAATGTATGACATATGCAATGTACCACTGATCATCCATAATAACTGTGAACTTTAAAATACAGAGAAATTAAGTCTCTTATGATGTTATCTGTCAGAAAAACACAGCCACATTATGATATTCTGCCCTGCATCATCATTACATGTTCTAACCCTTCTAAATGTAACATAGAGTAATCTGATGGTTTTACACAGAAAAAGATAGAAACAGGCCAAAGCAAAGAAGGGAGGAGTGTACAACAGAGAAAATAAGAAATTTAGGGGATGAATTTCTCTGACCCCAAAGCAAGTCAGAAACAACTCACAATTGTTTTTGAAGGATAGGTCGATCTCCTCAGAAATCTTGTGGCTGTGGTTGATGGGACAGCCTGACTCTCTGTCGGTTATTTGCTGAGCAGAGTAATGATGTATTTCCTGTTGGTTTAATGGACCAAACTCTTTCTGCATGGATGCATTTCTGTCTCCTGCGACTCCTCTAGGCTGGGATCTGTGCCCACGTGGAGACAGTCCACCATCATCCTTACTGTCCGTCTCCTCCTCAGCCAAACTGGGATCTAACAGAGTATGCATTAAAGGATCATATTCATATTATGAAGCTCATATTTGATTTAGTTTTAACAAACTATGTAATCACCAGACCAGTGGCATATACTGGGGAATGAAAAAAAAAGTAAAAAAACAGAAAAAAAACTAATGACAAAGTCTCATGTGGAATATAAAGGCCATTTTTCTTTTTGAATTTCACTGTTGCCACAACTGAATGTAACAAAAAGGATAAGGAATAAATATATTGGTGTGTATTGTACTTTGATATCAATCTAATAAGGCATAATACTCACCTCTGCTCCTGTCTTGTGTGCTCCATGTACAACCTTGCTTCATTTGTTTGTGAGGCTGGATGTTGAGATTAGATTGAGAGTGTGAACAGGACTGAGGCGGAGAACAGGAAATAGGGTCTGGAACACATGCTGAATCAAGAGTCTCTGATCCAGATGAAGACGATTCCTGGGTAGGCTGGGACAGACTTAATGGCATGGCTGTGGAGAATGAGGGTGACGAGACACTTGTGGCAGATGTAGTTGATGTTGAAAGGACAACAGTGACCTCTAGGAGGTTGTTGTTAGGAGGAATTTGGTAATCGGGGGCTTGTTGTGCTGTGGGGGCAGTAGAGCAAAGGGTAGGGGTGGCGTGGCACACAGACAGAGAAGCCTGTTGCGGGGCTAAGAAGACAGGTTGGGATTCCTGCACAGGTGTGGAAAGATCATCCTCTGTCTCTATTGAGGCACAAGGTACAGGGGAAGAGGAGGAAACAGGAGATGCTGAGGAAGAAAGTGGAGCCATTGAGCACGATACGGTATCTTGGGCAAACAGACCGTGGCCAACATCAACGTTATTGTCATTAATGTCCACAGTGGTTCCCCTCTGGCTACCAGATAGTGGTCTGTTATCAAGCATTTCCTGTCTTGAATGTAATTCTTGGTTCATTGCCTCCACAACATTGAGGTTGTCTGGGGTATGTGTGGTTGAATTGCAGGCTCCATGGCTAGGACTTCTGACATCAGGACTAGGATTATTAACCCCCTGCATATGTGAACCAGATTCAGCTTCATCTTTCCCACATATCCTCTGTTCACAGTCTGGTGATGAAGCTTTGCTGTTTGTCTTTTGGCCTATCTTAGTTTTAGGATTCTCTGCAATCCCCTTTGACAATCTATCTGCTGTTGTATTCAATGAAACAGAAGGTTTCTTTGGATTATTAACAGATTCAGGGCTAGAGTCAGGTGAACTGCCCGCCTGGGATGTCCTGTTCTGCCCTCTTCTTCCCTTCTTAGCAGCAATTGGTTTATCAGTGCAAAATTCCCCCTTATGGGGGTGATATGCAAAATGGTCTGGGTTATTCTGTGCAGGAGAGATTTTTGTTTCTTTTTTGTTCTCATCTTTCTCTTCACCTCTCTTGTTTGCTTTCTTTTCCACCTTTTCTTCCTCATCTTCTCCCCCTGAGTTACAAACAACACACTGCTGTCCTCTAAAGGCATCTTTATTCTTTGGTTCATCAACAAGTCTGTCAGTCACAGGATTCACATCACCCTTTTTTAGACCTTCAGTCTGAGGCTGCAGTATCTCTGGTTCAGATGTTGAACCAGTATTTTCTACCTTGTCTTGACAAACTCTATTTGTTCTGGAATCCTTGGCTTTACATTTAGGAGTAAAGGAACCAAAGGATCCATGTAGCAAAGAAAATGCTGTATTACTCTCTGGAGTGATTGTCTGACACTTTGGACTACTATGACATCTTGACTCTGCTTTATCTGGTGAACCAAAATGTTGGTTGGTTGTAGTTGTGTCCATGTGAGTTTCAACTAATGGTACTGAGATGCTAAAGACACCTTCCATTGTTGTGTCTGATGCTTGGTTTGTGGATCTGCCTGTTGGCACTCGCTCTTCATCAGGAAATGTGTCAGAATCCTGAGATGGAATCTCTTCAAGTGGAATATTAGACACTGAATCTCTAACAATGACACTCACACCCTGGGGTCTCACTTTCTCTGAGAGAGCATTCAGATTTCCACACATGGCTACTTCCAATGAGTCAAAGGCGGAGTCATTGTTATTGCTAGAATTCTCCCAAGTGTCTTGTATTTTTGTGCCTGTGTTACCTCCATTATTGTCTGGATTTAGATTACTGACATCATCCTCTGAGAATCTGGAGCTTCCATCCTCACCTGCTCCTGCTTCCGAGATCTCCTCAAGAGACTTCCAACAGGCAAATTTGGATTCAGAAGCTCCCTCTTTTACCAGTTCTTCTTCCGCTATCCGGTCTCTTGTTTCACACAGGCTGTTGTTATCTTCCTCATCCAGAACAGAACTCAGAACATTGTCATAATTTTCATATGCTTCACTACCCTTGCTGGAAACCATGGCCGTATGTGTGCCCTCTATGTCACACATGAGCAGACTCTCTGCCTCTAACTCATACCTCTTCCCCAGAGACAGGGACAGGGACTCTCCTGCTCCCCAGACACCAAGCTCATCCTCTGATCCTAATCCTAGTCCTAACCCTAGCCCCATCCTGTCATCACACCACACCCCAGCTCCAGGACCCATCTCTCTGCTTGTGTCTGTTTCCGAGTTTTCCCTTTTGGGTGAAATAGCAAAGGGGGACTGTGGAGATCCAACAGCTCCAAGCACTCCTTCATCAGTACTCAGGGTGTTTTCCCTCAGGTTCTCCTGGGCAGAGTCACCAGGGGAGTGTTCAGGGGTCAGGGCCAAATTGTCAAAAAGTTCTGAGATGACCTCTGGAGTGGCAGAGACAGAGATATTACTGGGGTTGGGACTAGGGTCTTTAGGGCAGGACACAAGGAGAACACCTTTATTCAAGTCATTGGTGGCAGAGGGCAAATTCAGAGAGGGACCAGAATCAGTGTTTCTACCTTCCATATTCATCATTTCAGCTGAGGCATTGCCATTCTTCTGGTCAAGCTCAACGTCAAACTCACTGTGAGTACTGGACCTGCACATGGCCTCTGCCCCTAGGGGCACATCAGATGTTTTAGAGAAAGACTTTGATAATGCAAGTCTAGTTGCTCCAACAGTCTTGTGACTTTCTGATTTATAATGACGAGGCTTGATGAGCAATTTAAAAGAGTCTCTTTCTGGTTCTTCTTCCCCCGAATAATCACTGCACTGTTTTACATCGACATCTCTCATTTGGGTAATTTCCTCTGCCAGTTCTTCCGGAGGAACTTGACTGTTAAGGTCTATTTTCTCCTGTGTGGAAGTGGCAGAGGGAGGGCAGCTGTGGAACTCAGCAGGAGGTCCTGGAGGAGCACAAAAGACAAATGTGGTAGAAGGGTTAAAATAAGGTCTGTCTTTAGGCTGCTCAAGAGGATGGGAAGAACCAGAAATACCCATCATCTCACTCTCAGTCCCACTCTCATTCAGGTTGCTAGAGGACTGTGGCTGACAAGAAATTGATTCTGAAGTACTGGGCAGTTTCTGGTGATTTGTGCCCGCTTGTGTGTGCAAAGGTTTTGTCTGACCTACTCCACTGGCAGATTCTAGATCAGGGTCTGATTGGGGTTCAGGGGTCTTAGGTGCATCTAGAGATTTGGGCTGTATATTGTTGCCTGTGGGGTGCGCAGCAATTGCTTCAGAAATGGGTTCACAGACACAGGTAGTTTTGGAGTGATCCACTAGTTTGTCTGTGCTCACTTGTGCATGCTCATTTGGACTTGTTCCAGTGGTAGACTTCTGTTCAGGTTCTGCTTGGATTTCACTTGAACCAAATGCACCTACTGATGTGGGTTCTGGTGCTTGTGCATGTCTCTCAGTGCTGTACAGACGTTCATCTTCCTCCCCATTATAGGAGGCAGAATCTAATGAGTCATCTGTATCATCATGGAAACAAAAGGATTCATCCAACCCCTCATTAATAGATGTCTCTGAAAGTGAATGAAGGAAGGATGCTGAGCTGTCCTCATCTGTAGGATCCTCCACTGCTTTGCTATCACACTCTTCCTCATCATCTTCCTGCTCTTCGTGTTCCTCTTCTTCTACCACTTTCACCTCTACCTTAGCTTCATCACCTGCCTCATCATGGTCATCATTGTCATCATCTTCATTATTGTCATCATCATCATCACCGTCAGCAGCGCCATTAGCATTTCCATCACCATCATCATCATCATCATAATCATAATCATCATCATCCTCTTCATCATCATCTTCAACATCTGCTTCCTCCTCTCCTGCTGCATATGCATCAACATCTTCTCCTTCATTTCTGCTGTTTTCTCCCATTTCATTGTCTTCCTCTGTGGGGAACAGGGTGATTTCCATTGAATCAGCCTTAAAGATGAGGCTAGTGTGGAGGGGGAAGGAGATAAGAGAGGCAGGGATCATCCTTTCCTCCTCTGGTATATCAGCACAGGCTGCCTGGGAGAGCATGAAGGAACTGAGGCCAAGCCTATCAAAGGCTCCAGGACAGAACGCATCCAAGGGTGTGAGAGGCGAGTCAGGGCTAAGGCTAGATGAGGCCATGGTCATGTTCTCCGTGTCAGGAGTCAAAGCAGTGGAAGGTAGTTCTGGGTGGTCATCCATCTGTTCATAATGTTCCTTTGATATGCATGCTTCCAGCTGAAGTTTCAGGCCTGTCTGCATGGGTCTAGAGTACTCTGCTCTCCTTGCACCTGTCTCTTCCAGTGGGCAGAGTGAGCTTTCAGACTCTCCTTCATCTTCCTGGGAGTCACTGCTACGGCTACTACTACTCCTCAGAGGCGAAGTATCCTCAGTCACCCAGCATGGATGGCAACCTTCTCTGGAAATCTTAATCTCTTCCCCTTTTAGAGCCTCTTCCTCTTCAAGGATCATGGTTCCTGTTATATCTATTCTTGAATTTGTGACAAAATCCTCTGGGCGGTATAGACAGAAGTCCCCTGCCATTTCCTCCTCCTGTTCTGGACCTACTCGTCCCTTTTCCTCCCCATCTTCATCTCCAATTTCTGATAAGGAACCCACAAAGCAAGCAGGGGCTTCCTGTGCTTCTTCTGTAAGGAGCAGATTGGGAGAAGTTGAAGGTGAGGTGGAAGATGTGTAAGAGGAGGCCCAGCTGCCTCCTTCTGCTGTAATATAAGAACCAGAAGGGGATGTGAGAGGGGAACATAGGTCTTCACTGTCTGAGGGAGAACCAGGGGAGAGTGGGCAGACTGGAGAGCCAGGATATGAGTGATGTTTAAGGTATGAAGAGCGGGAAACCATTTTGATTGGGGTGGATGGAGCAGTGTAGTACAGGTCGGGGTCGAGAGATGAGGGCACACCCACTCGTAGTGGGTCAACAACATAGGTTGGCTCAGAGAAGGACAAAGCAACTGGACAAGTCAGCTCAGAAAAAGAAAGGGAAGGCACTTCATCTTGAGGAAGGGTTTGACCCTCTTCCTGGTTGTCTGTCAATTTGTCATCGGTTGTGACTGGCTCTTGGGAGGAGGAAGAAGTACACAGGGGGTTGTGCAAAAGGACAGGGAGTGCGGTTGGGGGCTGCACAGGGTCTTTTTGACAATTCTGCTGTTTATGAGGGCTTTGGGCTTGGGTTTCCTCTATACTGGTTTCCAGCTGGGTCTCATTTACTTTGGCCTGTGGATCTGAAAAGCTTGGGAAAGCTGGCAAAGGGATAGCTTGACCACTTGGCTCAACAGGGAGTTGCCTTTTCTGTATCTCTGTTGTTTTGAGCCGTGTCTCTTGACCCATCACCACTCTTGTGTCAATAGTCTGTGGTTCTTGATAGTCACTCTCCACCTCAGAACCAGTGAGAACCTGGGAATAATACATTATACATGCACATTAAAGATCATATAAGTTTACCACTGAAATGTGTCTGGTAGCTGTAAAGTTGAAAACATGCTCATAGATCACACACACCTTGATTCTCTCCATCTTGACTGGGATGTAGCGACCACATGGTCCATGACCACCTAACTTTCCAGACAATCTGTGTGTGTTGTTGCTGCGATGGTCAGAGCCTTCAGGTTGAGGTCTTGGATTACCAGAGGAGCTAGGTGTTGCATGATAGAGTCTTGGTCCAAATGGAGAGGTGCTTGCTGGGAGTAGCTTCTGAGGAGTACTGGGAGAAGGGCTAGAACCACTGTCACTAGGGCAGGAGCCACTGTCACTAGGGCTGGAGTCAGTTGATGGGTGTATGGTCATGTCTGAAAAACAGAAAAACAACTATATACAACACCAGTTTAAATAAAGGGACAGAGCAGGTACTTGTACTTTTGTAAATTTATGGTACATTTTAACTGTAATGAGAATTTAACAAAGACCAGAGAATAAGCTTGACTGAATTATTTCATTATCATGACACCTCCTTCAATGTACAATAAGTTACTGTTTCACTTTGATTGACCTTTACTTTTTTCTCCAAAATACAAACTGAAATAGAGACATAAAAATGTCAGCAAAATGCAAGTCAGTGGATTAAACAAATATCCGTCAGCTTTAGTAACGTAAAACAATCATCAAGACTGAAAACAATGAGTATTAGCCTTCCTGTAGTGGTCCACCACCAGACTGTACACAAAACATAGAACTGGAAAACTATGCTTCTCTGCATAATGTACACTACAGTATCTTTACTTCTCAGAGTTTCTTTGTCTCTCTTTCTGTGTCCACACACACAATTAATCAGAGGTACAAGGAACTGCTACTGAAATACAGTGTTCCCTGGCTTGTTGTCCTTCTATACCATATTTATAACTGTCATCAGAAATGAGGAAATCACTGGAATGAAATGACAGGATGAATGAAAGAAATGGGGTCAGGAGTGAGTGGAGAGAGCAAGAAAGGAAAAGCAAATGTAGAGAGAAGATGGAGTAAAAGACTATATTCTTCTTTTTCCTCATTTCCACTGAAAATGATGTAGTCGTGTCAGATTTATTATCATAACAGACAACTATACATTCTCTGAAATATTCGCAGAGGATGTAATGTAATCTTTGTCTCTATAACACACCTGGAGGGAACAGAAACGTCATTTGCTGTCTTAACCAGGCCAGTGCCACAGTGACCTCAGTCCACATGCTGATTGGCCATTATGACACATAAGTGGATCAGTGCGGTGCCAGCCGCAAACACACACATCCTTACACTCACATACACACACTTGCTCTGCCAGGAACCCAGGCTCCCCTTACTAATTCACTCTGTGTTCTGCAGTCGCTCTTTTGTCTCACTCCAGCATTTCTCTCCTTTTCCTATCTCGTCCTCTCCTCAGCCCTGCTTCATACATACAAGTACAAAGCTGGCACTTCTTGTTTCACATTTAGTTGTGACTCGTTGCTTCCTTGTCTCGCCTCCATGTTCTTTTTTTCTCTCTGCAAATAGTATATATCTTCTTTGCTTCTCCTCCCTCACTGCTCTCATTCCCTGCCTGTGGTGGTGGCAGTTGCAAGCATCAGCACTTAGCAGCCCTGCCTGATCACTGCTTCTATAACAAGCTCTGGCTGTGTTGTGTGTGTGCTGAGTCATTCCTCAGAGATTAAAACCTGACACTAATCAGAGAGATGCACTGTTAAGCATGCACAAAAGCTAACTCCTGCACTCTTTTTACATGTACAGTACATTCTAATGTGGGTACAATGGGTATTGAGAACGTAATTGTTTGCTCCTGCAGGGGATAATAAAGAGGCAGCTAGCTTCAATGACCATGTGCACAGGCAAATAGAAATGCAATAATTAAGCATTATCTGGCAATCTACTCATTAAACACATTTAAAAATATGTATCTTCCTTCTTTATGTGCTACTGATTGGACTCACATGTTAGAAATAGATAATGTTGGAACAACTGTTTTGCTAGGCTGCTAAATAAGCAAGTGTATTGCATTTACTAGAATAAGACCTAGTGCTGCAAATAGTCTTTGGATGTCTGTCTCTCTTCTTCACCATGGCCGAGTCTCGGAGTCCCATCTCAGGGAACACAGTAAAACTGAGTACCCTGGTTGCTGTATGAGGAGCAGGCCGCAGCATGCTAAGCAGACTGGAGCTGCGTCACAGAGGCTGCAGCGCTGTCAAACTGTCAGCCTCAAGGGGAGCCTCTGAGCAGTAGCTGAAGGCTACTGCTCAGATTGAGCCATGAAAAAGAGAGACCCCGATAATCTGATATCCTTCTTTGCCTTTTGCCATCTGTCCCTCCTCTTTTAAATCATAATCACTCCCCCCTCTTCTGCCAAGATTCAGGCCAGGACAGCTTAAAATAATTTCACGCCTAAGAAAAGATCAGAGCAATGATGAAATTAAAACAGGACCATATCGAAAAAAGCAAACCACTGTAAGCTACTTCCAGAAGAGAGGAGTCAGAGAACATTTTTATCAGCTGTTAACCATCATAACTGCAAGGTGTTTACAACAGTATACACAATAAATTGTGTAGAGTGACTGTCAAAGACACAGTAATTGCAGCAGATTTTTCTCCAATGAGCACATTCTCACTCTGTAAGATAAAAATTCAGACACTGTGTTAAGCTCCCAATAATTTAATTCAATAGCAGCAACGTTTTGATCTATACAAGATCTTCTTCAGGTATTATCAAACAAGCATCATACCGAAAGGCACATTTTTATGTGCACCTGCTAAGACACCACTTAAGTGTTTTCACTCTGGCTAATTTGAAGACCATCTGCTTCTGTATTGATCAAAACATTGCTGCAATTTATTTATTGGGAGCTTAATACAGTGCACAAACTTTTTTCTTCCTTTTTGCCTTTAAGCTGTTGTTGGTTCAGCACCTGTAAAAAAAATTTGTATGTGCATGTCTGATGTTCTTTATTTGACGTTCTCACTCTGACTATTAGTGCCTGACAGGAATTAAGGAGACAGCATCTGCACTGGCCTAACCTTTCCTACTCCTGTTATTCTCTTCCTCTCATTATTTTTGCTTGCTTACTTATTTCATTACTTCACACCTTCAGATAAATAGTAACACGAGCAATTACTAACATGATTTTAAAACAGTTACTGTAGTCCGACATACAGTCCTCAATGTGCTCTGCCATGCTGCTGTGTCATGTTTCTGCTGAGGCTGGGAGAAGGGAGGAGCCACTCTGTGCTGCCTTTACAGTTCGCAAACCTGATGGAGAGCTGTGGATGCGGATGGGGTGGCACTGGTGCTGAAGATGGGGCATTAGGAGGAGGGACAAGGATGAGGAGGCCAGGGTTAGGGTGGGGATGGTGGCTGGGCAGGTAAACAGAGCTTTCTGAAGTCAGGTAGTGCATTTAGACCGGAATAGGATTTAGTGATGGGGAGTGCACAGAGGTGGACTGGGAGTTGACAGCTTTTGGGTGGAGGCACATAATAACTGGGAGCTGGAAGGGGAGACAATATGCGTTTTAGTGAGGAGACTAACATGCAGCTGAATCATAGTTTACTCGCTTCACATGTCAACATTGAAATGACCCAGCTATAAAGGGACTGTTTTCCACATGGCAGTTTAAAGCCCTGTGTTTACCTAACAGTCTCTTACCATTATACTAGCCCTTACATCTCGTTATATCTCCCATCTTCTACTCTTTTAACTCTTCCCTTTCTCCTCTCCTGCCCCAGTCTAATTACTTGCGCCAGACTATCTGTATCCTCTCTTCCCAGTTGTGCCCTGCTCTGTGTCTTGAATTGTATCCCTTTGCTTAATTAGGTAATCTTTCATCCCCATCCCCAGAGATCCTACCTGTTCCAGGGAGCCCAGTCTCCTCAGCTCCTTGCTCTGGATGCTTGTCAGCGGGAACAGATTTGTGAGTGCTCTCCCCGGGCATGCTTCTCGCTGGCTCTCCTCGGCTCTGACGCAACAATAAACCATACAGCCGGAACAGACAAGATAAACAGGGAGAGGGAGTGAGAAAGAAATCAGAAGAAGGAAAGGGGGGAGGTGGTGCCTGAATGCTCAGCGACCTAATACTCAGATCTTCCCTGCAGCACGTGTTTGTCTATGTGTGTGTTTGTGTATGAGGCAGAATGAGACCGACAGAGAGAAGAGGGGGAGAGTGAGAGATGGGAGTATACGCTGCTTTCTCTTTCTCTCTTGGTGGTGCAGCAGGGTGATGCTGCTGCTGTGGGCGTGTTTTAGAGCCTCATGCGTGTCTATGTGTGGGTGTGTGTAGATTCTGTGAGGTACCTGCGGTATTCTCTCTTCATGCCCAATTCCTGTTCCCTCCCTCCTCCTCCTCCTTCCCTTCCCCTCTCCCTGTATCCCTATCCATCTTCTCTACACCGTCCCTTCACCCTTCCCCCAGCCAAGCAATGACTCTATCTTGGAAGATGATGTCAGAAGCGTTCCACTGCTGCCTCAGTGCTGCCCCCAATCTTTGAAGGAAAGTAGCAGTACTGCAAAAACAAGAGAAAGAGAGAAACCAAAAAGAGGAGATGGATTCAAGGAAGACAAAACAAACAAGGGAATGGAAAGAGAAACTTAAAATTTAAAAGGGCAGAGTGAAACCTAAAAGTATTCAGCTAATTATACCTTTTGCTTCCTGCACTGATTGTATCCCTGAGGAATCGGAGAGAAATTTCCCCTGAGGGCAGCTAGAGCATCTGTGTCCCACCTCTCCAGCACTCCTCCTTATTCTCTACTGTTTTCTCCACCTTTATCTATATCGTATGAGGGATAAATAGATGGAAATAGGGAGTGATGGAGGGGGCTGGAGCACTGAGCCAAATGATACGCAATGTCAGTTTCTATGGCAACTTAAAACTTCCCATGTGCCAGCTCAGCAGAAGTGACTGTCACTTTACTGGATAATATCTAATAGGCTCTGTGCAATTCATTTGAACTCCACAAATACAGCAACTCACAGCTAAAAAAAAAAAGACAAAACAAATGGTTTTCATAAGTTTTCAAATCACATCATCCTTGCAGGGTGTGGGTGTCCTGTGCACAGCGACACTTTTTGTAATTCTTTTATCAAAAAAGCCAAATTATATTGACCATGATTGATTTATAAAATCAATAAAAGGGTAAAACATCCAAGGGGGTGAATACTTTTTATAGGCACTGTACTATAACCAGGAGTTTAATAATAAAAGTGCTAACTGGGCTCTCTGTCAATAGATCCAATAATCCCTGTGTAACTGGAAGAATGAGGGAAGCACCGTACTCCTGAAGCATATGATGGTTACTAATCATTTTCATGTTTGTTTTCCTTTCACTCAAACTTTGTTCTGTACTTTATGTCTCCTGCTCAGTTTAAACCTTTTTTTTTTTCACCTTTGCCGTGGCTTGCCTTTGTTGATCTTCCTCTCTGCCACTTTCACAGCCTCCGATATCAGAGCATTGTGGTTTGTTGTGGTGTTGTGTACACACTTGCAGGTCAGTAAAGTGTTAAACTCAGAATGCTACCCTGTCTGTTACACACACAGACAACAATAGGTTTAAAAATACCCATTCAAATTGAACAGCTCTTGAAGAAATTCAACATGTTTAACTTCATTCATTTGTGATTTAAATGCCTCTTACTTGATATCACTAGCCAAAAATGAGCTTGAACTAAAGCATGATCTGAACACCGCACCAAATAGAGTGCATGTAAAATGTACAAACCCCACATTCTGAATCCGAAGCCTACAAGGCATATAATCAATCTCATGAGAATATAAAAAACAACCAAAGGCAAAACAGGAATCAAATTTATTCCATCCCAAGATACTCCACACATTCACAGAGATAATTAAGTTATTCAGATGTTTTGAAATTATGATATTAAGCACAACAGTTTGACCAAAATCCTAAAAATGGCCCATGTGCATCTGTTTTGACATACTGCGAACAAAAAGACTTGATCATATCAGTTTTCTACTGAATGGCTGACTTGTCGTTTATTTCTGTCCTGCCCTCTGGCTCCAAAGCTCTTGCTTGTCATCACCATGGAAACAGGGAAAGCCCCACATATTGCTAAGGGAACCAGAATGAAAACATGATGTTTTTTTTTTTTTGACAAAGAATGAGTGAGCTTTTCTGGAGTGCTCCTCTCTTCTCAGTGTAATTGTGTGTGTGTGTATGCGCATTCTTTGTGGTCCTATTTGGTTGGGAAGACTTTGATTTAGCTGATCCTGCAATTTTTTTTCACCAGGTTCACTTAGCCATGTCCTCAGCCACAGCCTTGCCCATTTTATCCTTCAGGTATGCCAATTTCTGCCAGTCTGACTTCAGCTCCAACCAATCATAATACGGCACCTGAAAGAGGAGAAAAAGAAGGGACAGTTTGTTGAAGAGCTAATGAGCAGATATCTATTCATTATCAATGCTCTGTGTGTTCTTAGGTAATGAGTAATATTTGTAAAAATCATTTTATTGTCTTACATTTACAAAAACATTAAAAAAGGCACATAATCCTGGTTTTTGGTCTCAATTATATACATACAGCAGCTGCCCAGTTAACACATCCTGCAACACTGCAAAACTGAGAGGCAAGTGATGCTACTATTGGCTAAGGAGATTGTCCTAGATGAGCGCGAGCTCGGATTGGCCTAGATGAGGCAGAGCTGTGGCTGGAGCTCTATTTATACCACAGACTGCAGCAGGACCCACCTGACTCTCAGCCCTACCAGTATTAAATCCATTCTTTGCATGGCCTTGGATTGTCTGATACAGCAGCAGCACTGCATCTGTGCTTCTGAATTTCTATTCACTGAAATATTAATATCACAGCAAACACATCACACCAGACAAATCCTTTTTTTCAATTGGCTTTAGTGTGTGTCTAATAAAAAACTGATCAGAAGAGCAAACAGCTCAGTTTACCCTATACAGAGAAAATTATTTCATCACTCTTAACAAAAGTAAATTTACTTTGAAGGACCTGAACCATCATCATAACAGCACTACAAAGCTGAGTTATCCCATCTCGTTACCTCCACTATGGTAAAGCCTGCGAACTGGAAATGTCGCTTCATCATGACAAACCGTCCCAGAAGGTCTCTACTCTTTGAGCCAAAGTTGGGAAATTCCCAAGCACAGAAAACAAGCCTAAAACACAGATGGAGGGGAGTGCGACAGGAAGCACACAAACTTCAGTCAGCTAGCCAAAAAGAAAAACTGATGCATCACTGAAAGAAAAGCAAAAATAATTCTTTAACATGCGACACTCTTCGGTGACTCACCGTCGTGCCCCTGCAGGTAAAGCCTGGTCTCCTCCTCCACTGGGCAGATGAGGGGCTTTTAGCATTGACAGGTCAACTGGTTTGTTTTCATAGTCCAATACCAGCTCACCATCTGATTAGAGAAGAGCATGTCAGCTGGAAAAAATACTGCTTGTAGAGTAAAAAAATTCTAGCAATAAAAGGAAATGACAGTGTAACTGTATGTGATCTGAAAATATGTGCACAAGCTACCCTAACCCCCTTACCAATAGTCCATCCATACACAGTGTCAACCCCAGTGCGAAGGACCTCTGGCTTCCCACCCACAAAACTCTGTAATGCCTCTCTTAGACTGCTCTTCAGGGGAGAGAGGGGGGATCTGCTGGCCGACTCAGACAGAGCGTTCAGGGGGAATGGCGTGTCTGAGAAACCTGGATACTCTAAGTGAAGAGTCGCAGCAATGTGGAGGAGCTTCAGCTGATAGTTCTCCTTCTGAAGTGGACTTCCCTCTGTAAACAAAAAGACAATATAATAAGTGCTGGCAACTCAGTGCTTTCCCAAAGCACTTCAAGAAAGTTAACGTAATCAGCACTGTGCTTCATACAGTATCTGGGAAAAACAGGATTAGTGTCTAACCAGAAATCTATTGGTGCTGCACTGCCATCTACTGAGCTAGAATGGTGTTGTGACAGTCAGCTCCCAGAGTCTTAAAGACAACATACTGTACATAAACAAGTCATATCACTTCTACAGTCCTAAACAAAGTCTCACCCCCTCTGTGGCCTAATAACATATGATAACATGGGGATGGCTGATACAGGATAAAAGTGTTGGCTAATTCAACAAAGATGATTTAAAGTATAAAGTCACTGTGGGCCTGATGGCCAAGTGAGAATAGCATGATGTGCATGCAAATGTAAAATTCCCACATTTTAAAAATATGGGCATTATGCTCATAAATTACAATCTGTCATTTGTTGTTTTTAATTTAATTTAACAATGTACAGAGGGCTCGGGGCATGCCATGGGTCACAGAGATGTCAATGTGTGAGGGAAAGACAGTTACCAATGTATGTACAGGATCTACACGTCCTTCTTGAGCTGCGATGATTAGTTTCCACTATTAATTACTACATTCAGTTTGTTCCATTTCCTTCCCAGCTGCCTAAACATTTAATTCTGACCTCATTTTTTTAAGTTGACTTTTTTTTAATTGCTTGTTTTGTCATTAACACTGCAAAACCGATGTTCACTTTACAGTGATATGTGACAAAAAAGCAGAGATTGGAACCAGTCAATGTTTGCCATCTTTGCTTCAAAATATACATTATGAATCAATTATTAAATATGCTGATGATTAATTTGTGTTTGTTTAATAAATAAATTGACTAATTACATAAGAACCATATTCTATATTCTTTATTTTATTATGTATAAAAAGCTACAAGCCTTTTGAAATAAAGCTTATTCATCAGTTTTGCAGCCTGTTTAGGTGTAATGATGTTGTTGTTTTTATTTTAAGACAGGTAAATAAAGGCACTTAGAGAGAGACCATCTTTACTGGGTGCCTGAATCATGTCTACCATCCTCTCTCGCACCAGTATGTATGAGGTTAACTGTACTTATACAAAGAGTGTATCTGCATATTTATAAATGTACTATTCATCAACAGGAAAGTACAGAAGTAGGATAAACACCCAAGGCTATGTGTCTTACCTGATAGTTTGGTAATGTGATTTTGTTGTGTGAGGGGGATGAGGTAATGGGGCTTGGCCTGCTGCAGTATACACAGAGACCAAACCACATCTGTCTGCAGGAAGGGTTCCAGGTCTGAGAGAGAACCCTCCAGCACAGAGTGAACCTTTACACAAAATGAATCACACAGAGAATACAGTCAAGGTAGGAAGTAGAAACAATCATGTAAAGCCACCAGACAGCCTTTAATGTGTGCAATACCTTGCTAAAGAATTCTTCTCCTTTATTGGGCTGGAAGCCCAGTCTGGCAAAAGTCATGAGCAGATTGCAGAGCTGAGGAGTACTGTACTTCTGACTCTCTGCTGTGTAGTGCTGGTGAAAAAATGTACAGAGAGAAAGTTACACAGTGAGCTAGAAAATAATCCAAATGATTAGTTAATTTGAGATTGTAGATATTTCTCAGCATCAACTGAATTAGGGTTAGGTGTGTGAGTCTTAAGTGTATGACTAACCTCAACAAAGGCCTCAAAGAGAGGGATGTGGAGCCATTTGAGGAAGCCTAGAGATTTAGCAAAGCGTGTGATGTCAGCAGGGTGGAGCTCAGGGACTCTGGGTAACAACTCTGAGGCCATTCGCTGAAATACCTGAGAATGCTGGAAATTCAGCTTCCCTATAGGAGGACAAAGACAAAGATGAACAGTTAACATTATACAGGCTGCTACTAAGCAGACAGCGCTTGAAGCCCTTCTGATTGGCACCACACATCAAGCTTTACACGTGACATTTTTTGCCACTAGCCTTGCTAGGCAATGCATTAATCAAGTTAAACAAATTCTATTTTTACAACTATACATGTAAAAAGACTCAGGATAATAACATTTAAGTTGTTGCACTGAGAAAACATGTTACTAACAAAAGCTACTGCAATTACAAAAGCAATAACTACTTGTATTGACATTAAACTAAATAAAGCACCTGCAGATTGAGGTTACATGAGCCATCTATGGGCCTATAACCTTTCATTGATGTAGCTTTAAACTTGCCATGGCTTAATTCAGTGTGTTCATGCCCTCCATATTACAGGATATATTTTTTTTTTACCATAAGCATAAGCCATATTTATCATCAGTGGAGTGGTGAACTCTGTCGACGGCTTCTGAAGAAGATAGTAGGACAGAGCTCTGAGCAGTGGGACAGATCTGCGATTCTGAGATGCCAAGGACACACAGATTTTGCAGATCTCTTCTGCTGATAAGCCCTCTGCAAGCTCTAAAGCCTGGAAGAGACACACAGAGAAGGTTATTTCTATGGTCTAGCACCAACTGTACAAGCATTCACTGGGGCTCTCAAAGTTAGATTTATGCTCCAGAAGGAACTTTTCATGAGTAGTTTGATGTTTTGTTTATAAGCAGTTTCTTAATTTTCCTTTAGCTTTTCCTAAGATGACACTTCAGCTTATGATTTTGATATATTCTAGCCTGCACACTTGTGAGTGATTGTGTCAATATTATAGTAACGTTGAAATTAACATGCTCAAGTAGTATGGTCATGAATGTTTTTAAATTGCAATACCTTGTCCGCTAATCTGTCCATAAAGGTAGGTGGAATGTCTGCTCCTCTGGATACAAGTGAAATGACAGTTTTAGCATCAGCGATTTCTGTCCAGCGCAGTTCCAGTTGATTTAAAGCGGCGTTCATTAATACCATATCCTCCTGATTTTTTCTGCCTGCTCCCCATTCCACCAGGTGGCTAAGCTGCTTATAGGTTAGCCTACGGACTCGCCACAGGACCTCTGTCTGGACAGACCTGAGTACTGAATCGTCGGAGGGCACACCCATAATCCAGAGTGCTCGCAACACAGACACAAGCTTGCCATTCCACACTAAAGACACCTGGAAGAAAAACACACATAAATGAGTAATTGATTTTAATAATCAAACACAAGGGAATAAGATGTCAGTCACCTTACATGTTGAAAAGTACCAGTCCAACTGTGCAGCTAGCTTCCATACCTGCTGAGATATGGTAGTCATCATATTCAGTAACCTTGAATCCATCATAAGTTTTGGCAGTTGTTCCTTAGATTTCCCCTTCATACTATGCACCAAGAGAGTCCAATTTATCAGGGCATTTGCAGCTTGGTTACCATTTCCTCTATGTTCATCCCAGGCCATCAGGATGTCCTCTGGCACTTCTGCTTTTTTCACTAGCTCATCCAGCTCGGTGAGTGGAGGCATGGTGGAAAAGATGTCTTCCTTGGTAACTGTCTTTCCCTCACACATTGACATCTCTGTGACCCATGCTGTGCCCTGAGCCCTCTGCACCTTTGCATGCCCAGCCACAGATGGAGCCAGGTGGGCAGCAGCAGCTGGAGCTTGAGAAGAGGCCCTGCACAGCAGGCGAGCATATCTTCCCAAGAGACGGCTAGCCATCATCTCTAAGAAACAAGACAGTGGCCACAGGTAGAAGAGGAGAAGCCTGTCTCACAATTCAGCGGTCAGCTTCACCATCTTACATCCAACCTCAAGAGACAGTGGAGAATTCTGGAAGAAGTTTGGTTAAAAATAAAGGATTAGTGGTTAAAGTAACATGACAGAAAAGAGCTGAGCTGACCTTCATTTTCTCAGTCTAATTTAGTAACAATTACACGCCGTCAATATTCACCATCATGTCTGCCAAAAGCTTAAGTAATCTTTCTTTTGCCATTTTGTATGCATTTTTAACCTTTTATCCATCTGTGTGCATTATGTATCCTGAATTGCCTTTGTGCAGGAAAATGTGCTATATAAATACACCTGCCTTGTCATGCCATTTGTAACAAATATAGGGCGTTGGGGTAGTGCATGTGGCGGTGGTAGTATAACCCACGAGGATACTTAGTATCTATGGTACACACTGACAAAAATATTAATTATGTTGAGACCAGCTATACATCCGCTGTTGTAGCTTTGACTGAAACGACATCTTTAGTACGGTACAAGTAATGTTAACAGATCCGACAGCTACAACCCGGATATTAACGTTACTCCTGGGTTGTAACGTTACATTCTGACCTTGTCGGCAAGAAAAGGAAGATTCACTCTGAAATGCAGCAAACCGGCAGCGCTTTATTCAGTCTCCTAACATAAGACTGAGCTTTATTTGCGAAGACAGAACGCAGACAGGGGTCATCGCATCAACACGACTTACCAATAATTAACGACAAGTTTGGTGAAAGCTGTTCACTTGGAGTTATGTCAGAGATAGTCGCAGAAAAATGACGTTGCGGCACGGTATCACATGATCCGCGGACACAGCTGTCATTGGTTAAAATGGTCAATACAGTCCAAAGAATTTGCACTCCACTGATTAGTCACCAAATAATATTTTGTATTTTCTGTATTTGTTATATTAAGCTGCAGGCTAACAACATGACATTTGTGGGCGAATGTCTTCTTTGAAAGAGCAAGTAACCTTGTTTATCACAACTTAAAGGTTTACCCTCTAGCTAGGTTTTGGCAGTGAGTCAGTTGCAAAGGTTTGCTAAACTAAGCTAGTCCCATCTAACTTTGACCCATTTAAAAACATTTTCCCATTCTAACTTATATAAATGTAGCGGAGAAATATTAGAAACCTGTCAATATAATTCAGCAGCACTGCAAACTACAGCTTAAACATTATGTCAAATGTTGAGTGTTCTCACCCGCAGCAGATAGGCTACTTTGGTTTTCCTCCTGTGATATTTCGTTTCAACACCAATATAATAACACATAGCCGGACTAAATTGTTAAAAGACCTTGGCCAAGATTTGATGAATAGGCTATGCACAATGTCCATCCATCCATCCATCCATCCATTATCTATACCGCTTATCCAGAAAGGGAGTCTGCAGTCGCACTTTATCCCTTTTTATCGGCTAGGATATAGAAATAGTGGCTCCTACATTTCCCATAATGCAAATCAACAAGCTCTTCCTTTTTTCTTTACAATTCTTTTGTTTTGTTCATAGCCCTGACAAATGTATTGACACTGTATCCACTTTGCACTGGATAATGTACACTCCTAGCTTTTCTTCTCACTCTTTTGTTACCCCAGTAACCCCTCTATCCTTTCCCTCCTCACCTGTCTCTTTAGTAAGGTGTAATTAGAGCCGATAAGGTCGAGCTGATAACATTAGTTTCATTACACAGCCACTGTCACTCTACAGTATGTAGTACAGTACATGACGCTCTTAAACATAACTTATCTTACCTGGTTGTTATTTACCCAACATGCAACATGTTCTGGCCAGGAAATGTTAAGAGACAGGGTGACCTTAGCTCATGTTTTACTCATTTATGCAGGACAATGAATTGAATTTATGTTCCCATGTTGTAGGGAGATCTTTTTAATACTAGGCTGTGCGATTGGGTATGACACAAAAAGCTGTATTACAGATTGGTAGGCATATTTTATGATGTAGCAATTTAAGGTCACTTTTGGTAACTGCATCTGAAGAAGTGTGCCTTATATTTTAACATGTACCGGTGTAATGGTCCTATGTCTGAGGTTCTTGTTATAATGTAGACAGGGCTGCTGACACATGACTGGCATGGTTTATCACAGCACAGGCAAGTGTTGGCCCTAAATATCACTGAACAGTTGTTTTCAAAATATTCTCAAGCAATCATTCAGGTCATGAATTATCATTTCATTAGATTCTGTGACCCAAATGCCAGCACAATTCAAAATTTAGGATTAGAAAATGTTTGTCACATTAACTGACAAGCCTTTTAATCCTGTAAACAATGACAAACTGAATATAAGTTGATCATGTTTTCAGATCTTAATAAAATTTGGTCATTAGTGATGTTTATAAATGAACAGTTTATTAGTGAATGCAGGTACTCAGTGGCAGTAATTGGTAACTGATTAAGAAGAGCAGAAGGTGGTGGAAAAATGGATATTTTAGAGTTACTAAATTAGTCATTAAGACTTTAATGTTGTGTTAATTAGTAAATTAAAATTTGAACAGATAAAAGACTAAAAATATACTGTTTTGCAAGTCTAATTTCTTCTCAGTTCCTTTCCTGTCCAGATGCCTTTTTTTACAGTTTTTTATATTTCATCTTACCCACTGCCTCCTTGTAGTTAGTGCAGAGATATGTTTGTTTACTTTAAACAGCATCTGTCAGTCATGCAGAACAGCCTTTCATAGTTTTGCATCCTATGATGTACAGCAGTTATTGCATAAAAAATACACAAAAACATGAATTTATGGGGCCTGGTTCAAATGGTCTTGTTTACTGTTTCTTCTTATGTGAACATCAAAACAACTTTATAAAATCACAATAAATTCAGTTTTTTACTGAAATACCATCTGAGGTTCCTTTTTTTAACATCTGGGTATCACAGCCAGACATGACAGGTGAAGTATAAGTGTATTAATCAAGTGCGATGGTAGTTTGCTGGGTAACCTGTAAACAGCAGGGGTGTGGTTTCAGACAGAAGCATAGTGTTGTCATTAGAGTAAACCTCTTTGGAGATGCTGACACCATTAACATGCCTCTATGTCTGAGGCTACCAGTGACAGCACTGTTAATGAGCCAGGACTGGCAGCAGGTCTGACACCTGATTAATTCCAGTTGCAGGCAATGGTCTCCCTGATGTCGGCTCCCTTTATTTGGCTTTAAAGTGCTGGCACAGCTGTCATGCTGTGCAATGTAAAGGGTGGTGAGAGTTCTTCTCTCTTCTTTTCTATGGCTGCATTTGACCATCAACCCATACTTGGCAGCAGTAAAGATGAGAGTTTTTTTCCCCTGGATTGAAACTGCTGTTTCACTTATTTCAACCTCCAGAATTATTTAGTGGCTGATAGTAGACTGTTGTGCACTGAAAGATTTGGTGTAAACTGTTGCAGTGCAATGTAGTGCAGGCTGGTAGCAATGACATTGGTCAATTTTAACCTTCACTGCTCCTTACTATATCCATTTATCAGGAGAAATTAAAAAAAACATACTCAGGCAAGATAAGTGATACCAGAGAAATACTAGCAACACTTATGATATGGGTGCATTTGTGTGTACAGTATGGCTGGCTAGAGGTGACATTGTTGCTACTTGAGGTACCATTTTACGCAAGCTGTCGTATAAAAGTGCGTGTTTAAACATAAGTGTGTCCACAGGCATTTGTACGCATGTGCATATGAAAAGGGGAGTTTCTGGTATAAAGGGCTGTTCCAGAAAATTTGTCCCGTTTTTGACCATTGTGTGTGTGTGTGTTTGTGTGTGTGAGTGAGAAACGGTGTATGTTCGGCCGTGGACCCTAACTGACAGCCAAAATTTCAGTGGCAAAGAAGGATCGCGTGGTCTGGACCTCCATTGATTTAGGAGAGCAGTCCCCTATCACACCAGCAACCATGACTAAAAAGGTAGGAGACCCAGCACATTGTTTATCATTGGTTATATAGAATATAGAAAAGTTTTTTACTAAACAATGACTTAATCAGATAAAGATTTTTAAAAAGTTATGTTCTGCACAGTTGCACTACTGTGAAAATGAAAGTAGGTTCAACAGTTAAGATGGTTTAACATTAAGGTGTTTTTTCTTACCTTTAATTTAGCTTCCCAGTACGTGAGGTCGTGAATGACTTCAAAGAAGAAATTTTTTAAGATCCGCTGTGACTGTTTAACAAAATGTCACTGAACCGTTAACCTTCTATAATATAGGCAACTTAAAAGATCTTCCTGTTACCTTTTTACTTGTATTATCTTTTATATGAGACTTTGTTAATATAGCACATTTTAATTGTATAATATAGTTTTATTGTAAAAATTATGTACAGTCATTAAAGGTCGTTCAGTCAAAGTCAGTGAATTACTCAGTAAGTGCGGGCAGTTAAATTCCAAATAATTGCTGTCCTCAGTGTAGCCTTTATAGATACTAACCTACTGTATTTCATCTACTAATTATCTAGTTAAAACAGTAGTAAATAGTAAAAATACCTACTTGAGTTACCAACTGCTCACTTTGGAAAGGTGTCTGTGCATTTACAGTAAATAGTCAGTTTTACAAATTTTCCCATCCTATTATTTCAGTGCATTTGTTTTCTCCGGCATTGACATAATATACTCAGACACATGAAGTGTCATAGTTAACTTATTTACTACAAACCAAATGTGTTTTTATGCAAATTTGTACACATAGTCGGATTTAATGTGCTGTTTGAGTGGTCACATGTTCACATCTAGTATAGTTGTGTAATTGAGCAATCTTGTTCATCCATTCCTGCACATCACTAATTAGATGACAGACAGAAAAAAAACATTTTCTTTTGGTATCCATATCATCAAGAATGTCAAGTATTCAGGACAGACAGACGGATTGCTGCATAAATATATGCGTATAAATATTTTCCCGTTTCTGCCTGTTCAGGAGGATTACAACATGTTCGAGGTTGATGTGGACATGGACAAGAAGAAGAAGAAAAAGATGAAGAAGAAGGAGAAGCTGGAGGGCATGAAGAAAGAAATGGATATAGTAAGTAATGACAGCTACTTGAAAAAAAATCTACAGGTGTAGTGAGAGCCATTACATACTCCTGTGCAGTCATTAATCTATTTATTTATGGACTGTTTAGACCAACCTGTGATTTACAGACGCATCAGGGCTACACAGAAGCGAGAAGATGTAACCTCAGTACATTTAAAAAAAAAATAAACAGACTTTTTCCAGCTGCTGTCCAATTACAGCTGCCAAGTTACAACCAAACCTCTGAATAAATGACCTTAAATCCCTCTGATCTGTCCTTTGATAGTGTTCTGAATCAGTTATGTCCTCTGTCTCCTCCTGCAGGATGACCATGAAATTACAATTGAAGACCTGGAAATGAGATACAACACCAGTATCAACAAGGCAAGACATTTGCTTAATAATTGTCTTCTCCTGAAAGATTAATTTTGTTAATTTATTTCCTTTATGTTTTGGCTACGTGCATGTTTCCGGTTTCCTAGCTCAGTTTAGTTTAGTTTTTTTTTTCCCCCAACTATACTCACTCTTTTCATCTGTTTTGCTGTTCTTCATCCACAGGGTTTGACCTCTACCTTTGCCAGTCAGATCTTGGAGAGGGATGGCCCAAATGAACTGAAGCCTCCTAAAGGGACTCCAGAATATGTGAAGTTTGCCAGGCAGCTGGCTGGAGGACTGCAGTGTCTGATGTGGGTCGCAGCTGTCATCTGTTTCATCGCTTTTGGAATTGAACTTGGGAAAGGGGAAATCACGAGTTTTGACAATGTGAGTTTTATTTCCATTTCATACACAGCTTATGTGGATTACTTTATGCAGGAGAGATCAGAGAGAGAAGGAAAGGGAGGAGATATTGTTGGCTAATTGTTTTTCTTGTTACATCTTCTGTCTCATTACAGCTGTACTTGGCCATCACCCTAATAGCTGTTGTTGTAGTAACTGGTTGCTTTGGTTATTACCAAGAATTCAAAAGTACCAACATTATTGCCAGCTTCAAGAATTTGGTGCCACAAGTAAGTTTTGCATAATCAAAAAAATAAGGCCGCTCCACTTCCTTGTTTCCCTCAATCTACTGTGTTTTTCCTTGTGTTAATATTCTTTCACCTTTGCTCCCAATTTCCAAAAACAGCAAGCCACGGTGATCCGTGATGGCCAGAAAAACCAGATCAACGCCAACCAGTTGGTGGTGGGGGATCTGGTGGAGATCAAAGGAGGAGACAGAGTCCCTGCCGACATTCGCATCATCACTGCTCAGGCCTGCAAGGTAGACCACACGTGTGCTGTACATTGTATCAATACATACAGACAGACTGCTTGTTACAACCGTGTTAAACATATCATGATGCAAGTTCAAGCTCAGACCTTCAGAATTGCAGATGTAGTTCAATTCATTATGTAGAGCCTCCTTTAGTACCCTGTTTATATGATGGGAACATGTAAAAAAACCTTTTGTGGATTTACTTTGTGTGTCAGGTTGACAACTCATCCTTGACAGGGGAGTCTGAACCGCAAAGCAGGACTCCAGAATGTACTCACGAGAGTCCACTGGAGACCAGAAACATTGCTTTCTTCTCTACCACCTGTCTAGAAGGTACAGTACAGTAAGCAGCACATCTTGTACATGCATTTACTGTAAGTAGCCTGGTGTAGTCTGATTTATTTAACTATTTAGTTAAGTCTCCATTTGTTTATTTGTAGCATTTGACTGTAAATTCTGCCTTATCCAGGGCCACCATAACAGTAAGCACTGGTGAACGTAAGAACAAACTCTCTTCCCCAGGTGTAGCCACCGGGGTGATCATCAACACAGGTGACCGTACCATCATCGGCCGGATTGCCAGTTTGGCAAGCGGTGTCGGCAACGAGAAGACACCCATTGCCATAGAAATTGAACATTTTGTGGACATCATTGCTGGTCTTGCCATCTTTTTTGGGTTTACCTTCTTTGTGGTTGCCATGTTCATTGGCTATGCTTTCCTGGAAGCCATGATCTTTTTCATGGCTATCGTGGTGGCTTATGTGCCAGAGGGGCTACTTGCTACGGTTACCGTAAGTAGCTATATAATATGTCTCTGTAATATAGTTTATAGCTTGGTATCTTAATGTTTATTTTGGATTAATGCACCAACAGGTTTGCCTATCTCTGACTGCTAAACGACTTGCCAGGAAGAATTGTGTTGTGAAGAACCTGGAGGCTGTGGAGACATTGGGTTAGTATGCCTGCTGTGTTGTGTTCAAGCAGCAATGTTATATAATTTGGCTTAATTGAGAGTGATCATTTGATTTTTTTTGTTCTATTTATTATTTAAAGTTGCAATGTGTAGAACTGTTACGCAATTTTTAGATTTAACCCCTATATCGCCTTTTCCATCCAGCGAAAGTGTTTGGGTCACATATGCATATAGTGTATTCTCATTTACATTTCCACACCTCATGCAGTTTAATAACACACAATACATATAAAAGCAGATCTTGTAAAAATCTGACTTGAGAAGTTAAGCTATTCCAACATAGAAAATATACATGTTTAAACTGCATGTTTAGGCTCCACTTCAGTGATCTGTTCTGATAAGACGGGCACCCTGACACAGAACAGGATGACTGTGGCTCACCTTTGGTTCGACAACCATATCCACGCTGCTGACACCACTGAAGATCAGTCAGGTAAATTCCTGGATAAAAGCCTTGGTTTGTTCAGAGCAATTCCTTTTGAGATCAGTCAGCACTGTTGTTTTAAAATTAAGCTCTTATAAGCTGACTTGTGCCTTGCTATTTTAACTAGTGTGTGTATTTAAAGGATGGATTCATACTATTTTACGTTGAGTAATCTTTTAGTAATGATGGGGTTGTGTGGCTTCCAGGCCAGAGTTTTGACCAGTCATCAGAGACATGGCGTTTCCTGGGGAGAGTGGCTTCCCTGTGCAACAGAGCCACATTCAGACCTGATCAGGAAGGAGTTCCTATTCCAAAGGTACAAATTCATTGTTTTAAGACATTTGTGGTTAATAGCCACAAGTTGTCATGCTTATCTGACTTAATCTTAAACAGCTTGCTCTTGCTTTAATTTCCAATCCAATATAAGTATATAGTTGTTTTGCCCACATTCTGAAAATTTTGGTTAAAAGAAGTCAGTTTACCTTTCTCTTCTAAATTATTATATGACTTGTTCTTATTGTACCTTTTACCATCTCACATAGAGGACTGTGGTGGGAGATGCATCTGAGACAGCTCTGCTGAAGTTCACTGAGCTCACCATAGGGAACATCGTGGAGTACCGCAATCGCTTCAAGAAAGTGGTAGAAGTGCCCTTTAACTCCACCAACAAGTTTCAGGTAAAGGCAGGAAGCGTTGTTGTAAATGGGATTAACATAATCTTTGATCAGTTACAACACTATAATGCAGAAAAACAGTGGACAGATTTATCTAATATTTATGCTGTAATTTGGAACTTCCAACCTTGACACTACTACAGTATAACCTGCGATTTATGGTCTACCTAAGATCACTAAATAATGAATTTTTATTTTACAGTATTAAGCTTCTGTCACGTACATCTCTCCCTCCAGCTGTCTGTCCATGAGCTGGAGGATCCACTGGACCTACGCTACCTGCTGGTGATGAAGGGAGCTCCAGAACGCATTTTAGAACGCTGCTCCACCATTTTGATAAAAGGCCAGGAGCTGCCTCTGGATGAGCAGTGGAAAGAAGCTTTCCAGACAGCTTACATGGACCTGGGAGGGCTGGGAGAGAGAGTACTGGGTTAGAAAGTTCTTCTCATAATATTAATGGGATCTAATTATGTAGCTTGAAGCATTAAGAGGTTTTTTTCTGTGCACGGAGAGCAAAGGGGAACTAACAGTTTGAATCTGACGTTTTGAGCAAAAGCTTTTGTATATTACTCTCATTTAGGTATATGAATTTGCTGGGGTTTTTTTGTTTGTTTGTTTTTTTACAATTCTCTCCTCCACTTCCAGGCTTCTGTCATATCTATCTGAATGAGAAAGAGTACCCTCGAGGCTATCAATTTGACGCTGATGAGATGAATTTCACCACATCAGGACTGTGCTTTGCTGGTCTCATCTCAATGATTGACCCCCCAAGAGCCACTGTACCCGATGCAGTGATGAAATGCCGTACTGCTGGCATCAGGGTGTGTTCAGATTGCCCTACATACACATATACAGCTCAGTTAGGCTGGTTTTGAGTTCTAAAACATAAGTGAGCAATCACTTTTGTAATACAGAATTTTGCAAGCAACTGCATTTTCACTTTGTGAGTTTGTCCTTATTTTCCTGTTTCTTAAATTTTTTATATTTAATCTTGAAATCTCAGGTTGTCATGGTGACTGGAGACCATCCAATTACAGCTAGAGCAATAGCAGCGAATGTTGGTATCATCTCTGAAGGTAGTGAAACAGTGGAAGATATTGCCCAGAGGAAGCGCATACCTGTCGAGCAAGTCAACAAGAGGTATTGGCATCACTGCTGTCTAGTGCCCATCTCTGTGACATATCAGGGAAACTGACTATCTTGTTGCAGTACAATGTCTCACTGTGTGACCACAAAGCAGAACTAATAGAATACCATTACCTTATAAAAATTCACAAGAGTCACTGGTCTGTTGTCTTGATGCATGCGTCATCTATTTATTGTGTGTAACTGTCCATCACTGTGTTGTTTGTGTGCAGGGATGCCCGTGCTTGTGTGATCAGTGGTGGTCAGCTGAAAGAGATGAGCAGTGACGAGTTAGATGAGGCACTACGGAGCCATCCTGAGATGGTGTTTGCAAGAACATCCCCTCAGCAGAAACTGATTATTGTGGAGAGTTGTCAGCGTCTGGTAAATAAGGATAAACACACACAGACCTTACTTTACTACATGTCCTTTTAATCCTTGAGTCACTAATTACATTTATTTGATCTTTTAAGAAAAGAAAGCTAGTTTTCTATGCACTTTTTTTTTTAGTCAAGGGGAGTCACTGCAAAGCTTATGCTATTTCACTGTGGTCCCCTAAGAGGACTGTGAATGGAGCAGCAGCAGGGGAAGGCATTGGTCTGCATGTATTTACATACCCAGTGTGAATGATCAAACTACATTTTCAGACTTGAGAGCTTTCATCTTTCATCCCACCCAGGGTTCTATTGTCGCTGTAACAGGTGATGGTGTGAACGACTCCCCAGCTCTTAAGAAGGCTGACATTGGTGTCGCCATGGGGATCGCTGGTTCAGATGCTGCCAAGAATGCTGCAGATATGATCCTGTTGGACGACAACTTTGCTTCCATTGTCACAGGAGTGGAGCAGGGTAAAGCTGTGTGAATCCACTTTTTACCAGCTCTGGAAGTACAGTAGTTGATTTGTACACTGATCACTCTATGAATTTGTGTGTGTGTGTGTGTGTGTAGGTCGACTTATCTTTGACAACCTGAAGAAGTCTATTGCCTATACGCTAACCAAAAACATTCCTGAGCTGACTCCATATCTCATCTACATCACCGTCAGCGTTCCTCTTCCTCTGGGTTGCATTACTATTCTTTTTATTGAACTGGCCACTGATATTGTGAGTAATAGAAAAGAAATAACTAATTTTTGGTCATTACAGATGCAATTTATTATCATAATAGGTGATAACTGTGTAATATTTGCTTGCATTTCACTGTGACATACATTTTCCATTTCAATTACCACACACCAGCCTTATCCTTTACAGCAGGTGATTTGGCGGAATTAATAGTAAATTAAATAATTAAATTATGTTGCTCACTCCAGTATCTTGTTATAAACTGATGTTTGTTTATTCCTGCCACTCTTTTAGTTTCCCTCTGTCTCTCTGGCTTATGAGAAAGCAGAGAGCGACATCATGCACCTGAAGCCCAGGAACCCTCGACGTGATCGTCTGGTAAACGAAGCTCTGGCTGTGTACTCATACTTCCAGATAGGTGAGACTCTTCTGTGTGTGTGTGTGTGTGTGTGTGTGTGTGTGATGATCAACAAAACATGCACAGTGTATACTACTACTGTATTAGCCTCAGTTACACTGAAGTGAAGTACTTCACATGGACACAAAATAGACAAACAAAAAACAAACTTAAATGTGCATCCAGTCCATGAATGCATGCATTGCCTGCTAATAGACTTTGCTAGACGCTTGTCTTTCTGTTAAGCCCTTGTATAATAAAGCAGATAAGACAATATTTGCAACAGAGTGCACTCAGAATTCTTCTAGAGCTGAACCACTGTTTCATATGAGCTGAAAGTTTTGTCACACAGCCAGTGAGCTAGAGTCATACCTTTTTTAATAAAGTACTGACCTGTCCTTCATTTTTCTCATTTCTCTGTTTTAGGAGCCATCCAGTCTTTTGCAGGCTTTACAGATTATTTCTCCGCCATGGCCCAGGAGGGCTGGTTTCCACTTTTGTGTGTTGGTCTGCGTTCTCAGTGGGAGAATGTTCATCTTCAAGACTTGCAGGACAGCTATGGGCAGGAATGGGTTAGTACAGGCTTGTTCAAACTATGAACATGTGTATCATTTGGGCCTCCTGAAGGTCAAGGGAATATCTGTATTTTCTTTTTTTATTCAACCTACAAACCTAATAACACCTTTGTGTCCTCTCCTCTGCTTACAGACCTACAGTCAGAGGTTGTATCAGGAGTACACGTGCTACACTGTGTTTTTTGTCAGTATAGAGATCTGTCAGATCGCTGATGTGCTAATCAGGAAAACCCGACGTATCTCTGTGTTCCAGCAGGGCTTCTTCAGGTCAGTCAAGACCCATCCCTAACACGAATCACTCAACAGTGTATCTCAATAGTAAAGTGCATTAATATTTACATGGTTAAAACTTTGTGATTTATGAAGGTGAAACTTAGAATGTCTGTGGGAAATTGCTATTGTGTTTCAGGTGATTAAAACTAAAAATGTATCTCATGCATTCATTTGTAAACAGGGGCATCTGGTCCTTTTTTGTTTTTGTCAATCCATTTACATGAAAACAGCTGAGCCTGGACTAACTTGTTGAGTTTAACAAGATTCTAGCTGCATGATTATCTCTATTTGTGTACAGGAACCGTGTCCTTGTTTCCGCCATAATATTCCAGCTCTGCCTGGGTAATCTGCTTTGTTACTGCCCTGGAATGCCCAATATCTTCAATTTCATGCCCATCAGGTAAACACACAAAGAGCCTCATTCACATGGTGTGCAGACCTGGGGGTCACTGCACAAGAGAATTAAGAAATCCAAGATGAGACGAAGCGATGCTTGAACTAGTCTACTGTGTGCATCCTGGCTTAATGTGTTTCACGAAGGTGTAAAGCCAGGTTGAGGAGGTGCGGCCAGGTCTAAGTAATTCTGATGAATGCACATTCACGGCTTTTCTTAACAGACCACGAGTTCGATCACACTTTCACTGATGCTGACATGAAAGCTGTGTTCCAATTGGCTGTGCCAGCACATGCCGGTTAAGTAGTGTCATTAAAATGAACAGACTCCACGTCCAGCTGGCATGAGTGTGGCACAGTGCTGATCAGGTTTTCAAGCACACACATGGAAGATATGTGCGGCATATTTCAGACCCACTGAGCATGCCCGGTCATGCACGCTTATGGGGAAATCAAGTGCATAATCTTTAAAAATGGAAACACGGCCACTGTAGTAACACAGAAGAAGCGTGGCAGATGGTAGCGGACCAACTGAATGCATTAGGTTGCCTAAAATATACATTTTAACAACTGTTCCTAGCTAAAACCATATGTTACTCAGGAAATATACCATGAAGATGAATTACTAACATAAATCCGCAACCTCAATGTGTAAATCTGGTTCATTCTGCCAATGGTGGAACCTGGGTGACATGTAACATAATCCTTCTTATATACCTAAAACTTCTTGTCAGTTAACATAACTCCACAAGTAGAGCTTTAGCAAAGGCTCATTTTGGGTGACTGATCTCTTTGATAACAATAATAATAATAATAATAATTAGCTATTTTTCTCAGTGTTCTATTTAATACAGCCTATGTAATATTAATGTAAGTGTGAATGAGACTGAATTTATTCATGAAAGACATTTTTTAATGAAAAAGTAGGCCTATGTGGCCTGTAGGTCCATGTAGGCTAATGATCAGTGTGACAAGACAATTCCTTGAACTTGGTATTGTAACTGATTTGCTCAAAGTAAAATTAAACACTGGATGATTAAACTTTTTTCATCATCGCATGCACAGTCTTCAACATAGCCAGTATAAGTCAAGTGATTTATCATGTCAACTTTAAGGATTTTGGTGACAGTAATTCCACTGTTATTGTGTATGACCTCATCTAAACAAAGGGCAGGCCATTGTATAGGAAGAAAAACACATACAGTAGTATATACTGACATCACTGAAGACACCTTTGCAGCTATAATATAATTCAAACTTCTAACAACAATATGAACAGCATTCTTCAGTCAGTAACAATGACTATCGCACTTCACAGATTAACTGTAAAAAAAAAAAAAAAGCACTGGTTTCAGATCAGAGTAACTGCTGACACAACAAATAAGGCATCATGATTAATCAAGCCTGGCTGTTGGACCAGGCTAGCTGCACAGAATACATCTCCACAGTAACTTAATTTAACCTGCTTTCATGCAACCGAGTCCTGGATAAATTCAGCCTGGATAACTGGAAAATCCCATCTTAAACCCTTATCTTGGTTTTGTGCAATGCCTCCCAGATTAGAAGGAAAAAGTGGTCTGTAGGTCATGAATGAAATCAGAATCAGCTTTACTGTCCAGATGTGTTGGACATATGAGCAATACGACTTCGGTACAGTGGCTCTCAGTATGCATGTACGATGTTCTTCCATAAAGCAACGAGTAAATAAGACAAGACAGAACAAGAAAAATGTGCAAACAAGAAAAAGAATGTGCATTAGGAAGTACTTAAATATGTGTATATAGACAGTTTAGATGGAAGTTTTAAGATAGTGCAATACCTTGTAAATATACCTGAGGGTTGCCTTTCTGTTACACAGTCATGGGTTAAGTGTTCATCAGAGTGATGGCCCGGGTGAAGAAACTGTCCTTATATCCGGTTGTTTTAGTGTACAGTGACCTGTAGTGCCATCCAGAGGAGAGGAGTTCAAACAGTTTGTGTCACATACTTCCCTGGGGGGCACCTGTGCTGATTGTCCAGGTGCTGGATGTGGTTTTCCCCTGCCTCACCTGCTGCTTCCTGCCTATCAGAAAGCTGGTGATCCACTGACAGCTGGGGGCAGGTACAGTGAGCTGGGTGAGTGTGGGGTTGAGGATGATCATGTTGGAACGCTGAGCTGAAGTCCACAAAAACCCCTGCATAGGTCCCTGGGGAGTCGAGGTGTTGCAGAATGTAATGCAGTGCCATGTGGACTGCACGATCCACTGATCTACAGTATGTGCCTGGTAGGCAAACTGCAGGGGGTCTACGATGTCCTTCAGGTGGGCCAACACCAGTCTCTCAAAGGAAAAGGAAAGCAACAGAGGAAAACATAAATTTCAGACCCACAGGGAGACAGTCTTTGTTTCCCCCCCGTTTGAAACAAAAAACACTATAGTTGTTAGTTCAATATGACATGTTTTCTCTCTCTAGGGTCCAGTGGTGGTTTGTTCCTGTTCCATATGGTATTTTAATCTTTGTCTACGATGAGATCAGGAAGTTAGGAGTCAGAAGACATCCAGGAAGTGAGCTGAGATTCTATATCCTTCCTTCTGACCATTTAAAATCTATCAATCATCAGTAGTATCTCTGCTACACATGCAGGCAGTATTCATTAATCTGTGGCTTGTTATCTCGCAGGTTGGTGGGATCAGGAATTATACTACTGAGACCAAAGAAGCCTTTCCATCTGTATGAAAGAATCACTCAAACTGAATGCTCCAAACCCGGAGGACCTTAACCAATTCTCCAGCATTCATCTGTATTACTTTGTGATCTATGTATTTATTGTCTCTTTTAATTCTAACATTATATTAATATTCGTTTGCCTAAATCTTTTTAACAAACTAAAGTGGTGATCATTTCTTAAAGTTATCACTGAATAATCTGCAGATGTTCCAACTCTGACTATGGCTGCATTGTATTTGTACTAATAAAGAATCTTAAGACTGGTGATGAACTCAAATCAACAACAAAAATAGCAAGTTTTTTTTTTGTATTCTGTAATTCTTGGTGTGTTTTTCTGAATGTTGTATCTTTACTTACAAAGTTGTTAATTGAATATTATGGAATTCACAAATGTAGACATTGTTTCACTTGTGATTCATTCTGGAAAAAGGTTTAATGGTTAATGCTAAATGTTCAGAATTTCCTCACCAATCTGATATCGATGTGTCGTGTCTGTGAAAAAAAAAAATGTAAAGAGCTGTTTCATTCAATTTGGATTTTTTTTTCTGAAGAATTGGTGCATCAATGATGAATTGATAAGTTAAATGCACATTTGGAATTAAACTGAATGAGTCAAATACAGCAGGGCATTGCTGCATTAAAAAAAATTTAAAGGTATAATATATTTTTAATTATAGTGCCTGCAGCACTTCAGCAACACTAGAGATGCACAGAGTCTCTGGCGAGGCATCCAAACCCAGGGCTCTATTGTGACATCTCTCTGCTGAACAGCCTCAGTGTCTTCTTTGGCCACTTTGAAACACAGAACACACCAGCACAGAAGACCAACCCCTCCCCCAGGAGAGCAGGTTGTGTGTCTGTCCACAGTCAGCGTGAAGAAGACCCTCTCCAGGATTAACCCACACAAGGCAGACTTTTTTTTTTTTTTTTTTTTTTTTTTTTTATTAATTCCAAGCATATAATAAAACAGATAAGGGAAAAGAAATCATAATCAATATATACCTCAAAACAACCAAAGAAAACCCAAAAAAGAAAAAAGGAAAAAAAAAATGTCTCATGATGATAAATGATCATTACATGCTTGCAAAGAAGTAGAAAGAAGTGATACTTATCTAGTTCTACCCCTGATAATCCAAACTATGATTAACCCAACTCAAGTGTTAAGCTAAACAGCTACACTGGTTAAATTCCCGCGGCCCCGAATCACTGCATTCCTTCCAGCCAGAAATCACAATTACACAATTAATAACCAAATTATATACAATAAATTATTCATATCCCACCCATAAATATACCAATAATATGATAATATCATTACACTTCCTGTATCCAATACCTAGCTATGCAGACCTTTTTGTATTTGTTCTTAAATTGTTTTACACTTATACATTTTTTTAAATCATCACCCAATCTATTCCATAATTTTACCCCACACACAGATATACAAAAACTTTTCCTAGTTGTACGTATAACCTGAGTTTTTAAATTTAGGTGGCCCCTCAATCCATAACCACCCTCTTGATCAACAAACAAACCCCGAATACCACTTGGCACCAAATTATATCTAACTTTATACATAAATACAGCAGATTTATATTCTACTAAATCAAAACATTTAAAACAAACCTGATAGTGCAAATGATGAATTCGTATGATCCCTGTAACCAAGTCCATAAACAATTCTAATGGCCCGTTTTTGCAATATAAATAATGGCCATAATGCACTTTTATATGTATTACCCCAACACTCAACACAATAGTCCAAATAAGGTACAAACATGGAACAGTAAAGAATATGGAGTGACTTCCAATCCACGATATTTTTAACTCTAGCCAATATAGATATACTTTTAGCCAATTTATTATGTATATATTTAATGTGAGGTTTCCAACAGATTTTATCTTCAATGTTTATACCTAAAAATTTTGTTTCATAAACTCTTCCTATATTGGCATCCCCCACCCTTACTTGAATCTGATGATTTGATCTTCCATATCCAAACAACATGAACTTAGTTTTTTTCAAATTTAATGATAACTTATTCCTGTCACACCATTTCTTCACCTTATCCAATTCCAGAGTAATCAGACCCAAAAGTTGCTGTAGGTCTTCCCCAGAGGCCCATACAGTAGTACCATCAGCAAATAATACAAAGTTCAATAATTCAGAGACATAACATATATCGTTTATATACAATATGAAAAGTTTGGGGCCCAAAACTGACCCCTGTGGGACCCCACATACTATATCCAAAAAAACTTCAATTATTATGAAGTGCTTCGAGTGGCTGGTCATGCAGAATGTCAGGTCCATACTTCCTCCCTCTCACGACCCATTTCAGTTTGCATACAGGTCAACCAGGTCCACAGAGGATGCCATTACTGCTGTTCTCCATCCAGCCCTCACCCACCTAGATTCAAAAAAGTCTTGCATGCGAATGCTGTTCCTAGACTTCAGTTCAGCATTCAACACAATCATTCCCTAGCAGCTTACACAAAAACTTGGACACTTGGGAATCAAAACCTCTCCCTGCAACTGGGTGCTGGACTTTCTAACAGGGAGGCCACAAAATGTTCAGGTCAGCAGCAACATCTCCAAGACCATCACGCTGAGCACTCATTGCTCTTCATACTGCTGACCCACGACTGTATGCCAACCTACAGCACCAACCACATTGTCAAGTTTGAAGATGACACGACTGTAGTTGGCCTCATTACCAACAACAGTGAGGCCAACTACCGGAGTGAGGTGTGCCAACTGGTCCAGTGGTGTAAGGACAACAACCTCTCCCTCAATGTGGGGAAGACTAGAGATATCATTGTGGACTTCAGGAGAAAATCTCTAAAGCATCCACCACTGACCATCGATGGTGCTGTAGTGGAGAGAATGAGTGGTACCAAATTCCTGGGGGTGTACATCTCTGAGAACCTCTTCTGGACCTCAGAGAGCACAACACTGGCCAAGAAAGCTCAAACATGCCTCTACTTTCTCCGCAAACTGAGGACAGTCAGTGCCCCACGCTCCATCATGTGCTCCTTCTACCAGGGCACCACTGAGAGGGTCATCACGGTGTGGTACAGAGCCTGTACTGCCTCCTGCAAAAGGACCCTGTAATGCATAGTGAAAACAGCCACTAAGATCATCGGCGCCCCTCTGCCTTCCCTTATAGACATCTTCAACACCCGCCTCACCTGCAGAGCCATCAGCATTTCTGATGACACCTCCCACCCCTCACACTCCCACTTTAGACTCCTGCCTTCAGGGAGAAGGTATCGGAGTCTTCAGGCCAACTCCACCAGACTTTTTCATAAGCTATTATGCATCTCATCACCAACGCCCCTGGTGATGCTGACCACCTGACAATCTTCTGGTTATTATTTGCACTACTGTCACTGATTAGTTACAATTTAGTTTTATCCTAATGACCTTAATTTAGTTTCCTTATTCTATTTTATTCGATTTTTATTCTATTTTAGTTTCCTAAATGGTATGGCATTCAATACTAGGTGAGAGAGAAATGGTATATCAATTTTCTGTATGTCCTGCACATATGGTGAATTGACAATAAAAATCTTTGATCTTGATCTTGCAGTGACAGCTACATAAAGGTTGTAAAGCAGGAAATAGCAACATGTCACAAAAGATAGTCAAATCTACTCCCACAGACCAAAGACATGCAGATTAGGTTTCTTGGTGACTCTAAATTGCTCATAGGTGTGAACGTGTCTGCTTCTGTGTCAGCCCTGTAAATGACCTGCCGGCCAGTGTACACAACCCCTTGCACAATGTCAGATGGAATAAGCTTCAGTCATTTGTCATTTCTTGTGTATGACCTCACAGATGCCTTTTTTCCTTCATCTCTCAACATGCTCCACCCATGCCTACCTCTTTCCATTTAAGTGCTTTCTTCACCTCTGGTCTCTACTCGACTTTCCAGATGGCGATTTTGCCATCACGCCGTGCAGCACCACTCAGGACATAGCGATCCTCAGCAGAGCAGAGTGTCTGAATGCTGTCTGAATGTGCCTGCAGCTCCTTTGCCACTGTGAGACTCTCTGGGTCCACCACTAATACCCGACTTCTCAGCTGACCGTGCCACTGACCTCCGACACTGCTCCATCCACGGCAGCCCACCCAGACCTGAGAAGACGACAGGGCATTAAGGAAAGGCAGCAATATGTAAGTGATGAAGGTCATACAAAACAGAAAAACACTTCTTAATTTATATATAGCCTTTTCCAGCTATTATCCAGCTACTATTTATAATAATAGCAGCAAATCTGCTGATTTTATCGATTGTCTTTTATATATAAAATATCAAACTTGTGAAAAACAGCAGTTAACTATTATTTTCCACAACTCACGTTGACATCCGAAAATGTTAAAACAAGATAATTTTGTGACCCGATATGTATCATTGCTCACCTGGTCCTTGACTCGAATCATACAGGTGACTCCTGAACTGCCTTGCAGGGGGATTCTCTTGTACGGATGCCTGTGGTTGTCAGTCTGCCAGAGACACAGCTCCCCCGAGTCTGCACAGCCTGTCCACACTTGACCTCGCTGTACAAAACATACACAAAAACTGTCAAGTGACTTATATAAAAACTGAGACAATAAGCATTTTATCTGTAGCCAGCAAGATTTTATGAAAACCAAAATCTTTAGTGGTAAAAAGAAAAAAAAAGTATGTGTACAGTATACTGTATATACACAGTAGGTGTTGGGGAGTGTTGTCATTAAATACTGTACTTGAATCCCTCAGTTTTAGAGGTTGCAGTGACTTCTGGTTCCAGCTATGTAATAAATGTCTAGATGCCAAAATAATGAGAGTATTATGTGAGCTGTACAAAATTGTTTCATTCACTGACTGACACACCTGGCTTATTGGCTGAAGCGTAGACTGTGTGTCTGACTTGCTAAACAACTTGGCTGCTACCTTGCTTAATATATTCTCAAACTGGATGAGGATTGCCAAGTCACCTCTGGAATGACAATGAAGGTACTGAAGCTACTGGGAATGCTCCGCAGGTGGTCAGGAAGTGCCATTCTTCGTTGTGGTGTCCCATTCTCATTCAGTTCCACAATGCTGTCACCACAACCTGGACATACAGACACTTCTGTTTTTTTGTTTAGCTTTATGAAGACATATTCACACAGGGGTAAATGTCTTATAGCTGTCATGCATTTTACACACCACCATAATACAAGTGCAGTTATAAAGGAATAAAAAGCCACACTGTCAGTCGGTGAACAGCAAATGTTCAATGAAGTGCAAAAAGATGAGATTGAAGATTGTTTTTAATGTTACAGGTTATTGTGACAAGCGGAGTATTATGTTTACCCAAGTGAGGGAGCACTAATTTTACATACAAACTTAATGCACTAGAAAACAGGTTAAGATTTGAATGCAAAAAAGACTGTGTACTTACAGCACCACAGTGTGCCATCATACATCTGTATAGACGACAGACGGTCACAGCTGAGGCTAAGCTGTCGCTTCACTTTGAGACTGGCTGAGTCCCACTGTAGTATCATCCCATCACAGCTGCAGGAGTACGTCTGTTGACTGGGAAAGGAAAAGAGAGAAAACCCTGATAAAGATGCTTCTAAGTAGAAAGAAATTTCTAGGACTTTTCATGTGTGATGTTCAATAACTGGTAACGGCCATAATCATGTCTCTACCAGGTGTCCACTGTGAGTCCAGTCACTTCATGTCTGTGCTCAGTTAGCTGTTTGTTGCAGGACATGCTGTGATTGTCAATGATGTAGATTACAGAGTCCTGAGAGCCAATCCACACCTGCTCCTGGACCAATCCCAGCATGCAGTTCTGCATGGAAGAAGATGTTACATGGGATCTCATTCTCACATCCAAACTAACAGACTCAAAAACAATATCATTATGTATATACCGTACATACATACATTGTGTATTAAAGTGTAGAATTTTAACATGTGCATGTCAACTTTGCAGCCTTTAGTGACAGTATTAACAAAAGTGTGATGGATCTAAGCCAAGGAGCTGAAAGAGCGGTCTCTTTTTGTTCAAATAATGTTAAAACCCAGCTAATTGTGTAAATTCTGCATGTAGCAGCACCAGGCTGGCATACGGTACTGCATACATTTGAAAATACATGGTTTAAAGAAGTACTCTACTAATTTACCACTGCACTCTCCTAAGTCAGAATTGGTGCATTTTTTGCATTAAAAATCAATGCAGCAGAACCCCAGATACCATCTCCTTTATTCCATGCATTCTTCTTAAGCATGAAATTCTGGGCCCTGACTGCTGACAGTTCCATCAGAGAAGGGGTTTGTTATGCTAGTAGCGGCTAATGTAGCTTCAGAGAGATGAACAGCACAGGGGCAGAGGTCTGGTAAGCTCTCTGCTTTGCAGCACCACACTCACAGATATTCTTTCCCATTTCCAAATGTGTTGTTTTTAGCCATAAGTGAATTTATCAAAATGTAATTCTGTAGCTATATACAGCTTTATAGAACTCTTCACATACAGTATGCAGCAGTACCCTCTGAGACCTATAAGCAAACATTGATGTGTAAAACTGGCAGAGTTTCCCTTTAAATAACTGTTACTTCTAACTGCTCTCACCAGTTTCGACTCTCCAACCTGGATGCTGTTTTGCACCATGGACCAGGTAGTTGCATCAAACACAACCACTTTGCCCCCGCTGAGAGCCACCCACAGCTTCGGGTTCATGTCACCCTCTGAATCACTGGATGTCAGATGACCTGGAGAGAGCCAGAGAAAGGGACAAAGGGGGAGAGAGCAGTGCACAGCTGAACCGTGAAAAAAAAAAAAAAAAAAAAAAGTAAATACTGCTCAGCAGGGCACAGACACTGGCCCGGTATTCACAATCATCTTCAGTGGCAATGGCAATACTTAATATACATAGAAAGGATATCAATCAGTTGACCTTGAGAATTTTACATGTAAACCTATCAATTTCAACCTGAGCGACAAGAAGTTTGAGAGTTTCAGAGTATTGATACCAATATGCAAAATAATGCCAGACCTGAGTGCTCATGAAGACAACTTACTAACCCTGACTAGCTGACAGTCTCTGTCTTGTGACTGTAACAACCAGTGAACACCAGCCCTACAGTTATACAGTGAATTAAACACAGAGAATAAAGCTTACAGCAAATGTGAAATCCTCAAACAGCAATTCAGTTTGTGAACACTGATTACCTTTAAACATCTAAATGGATTATCGCTGTCCAGGCAAATGGTTCGATACTCATATATTTGAATATTTCCATGCTAAAATACATGATAGTGTCAAAGTACTAAAAGATTTTAAAAAATCATGTTGGTCTACATCGTACCTGGTGTGTATAGTAACACATGTACAGTTTGAGGTTCAGTCAGGTCAAGTGATGGGTTGATCTTGTGTTTTAGAGTTTCGGAGGTAGTTCCGGACATCATCATGGGCACTGCCCATAAACACGCACAATGAATTAATGAATATGAGCAAGAGTGAATGGAAAACGGTGAAAACAGTAAAAAGAGACATGAGAGAGAGTGAAAGAAACAAAAAAAATAAGAACTAAAACAATCAGTTCATAAATCAATAAGCCTGTTGACAGAAAATTAACAAGTAACTACTGTTAAAATCAATTATGCAAGTTATTTATCAAGCAAAAATGCCAAGCATTCTCCTATTCCAGTGATTAATTCAGTAATCAATAGACAGATTCGTATCCATAATAAAAAGTTAGTGAATCATTAATTAGATTAGTTGCAGTTCTCTAAAGCATAACTCAGACTTTAAATCAGAATGTCTATAAGCACAATTATAAACTTTAATTTAACCAAATATTTTATGTGAACAGAAAAAAAAGAACAAGAACCAGAAGAAGCAGCACAAGAGTGAGCCCAGACCTTCATGTCTGATCTTGTCAAAGTAGGCCAGCTTTGAGGCAGCATGGATGGACCTCTGGGTCTGCAGGCAGCCCATGACAGCATTCATTAACAGGACGTTGGTCAGAGCCTGAGTCATGTACTGAGGGTCCTACAGAGATGTAAGTAAACCTGATGTTCAATGACATATAGACAAAAAAGTAAGAATATCATCAGTGGCCATTTTACATTACAGAGTAGGCCAGCATGCATCATTTGTTTACCAGTCAGCAGCAGCAAAGACCACCAGAAAAGTAATGGTGAGGTCACACTTATACCAGTCACAGGTCATAGCTCACCATCGTTCAAACGTGACCTGTGAATCTGCACAGTGGACTAATGGAAACACCACTGTCTTGATGGATCTTGTGTTTTTAAAAGAAAAGGCTAAGAGGTCATCCCACTCTGTGTATTACATTACTACACTGCAACCTCTCCTGGACAATATTGTAGTTTGTCATGCTCAATATGATGTCGAACCCAGTGCACAGCAGACTTTGTTGTACCTTGTGTTGATCGGCCATCTTGCGTCCAGCCCACATTTCTTTGACCACAAGGTTCCACAGTTCAGTCTCTGCCTTCAGGTTGGCCTCAAACACCTCAGGCCTGCTGGAGGTCTGGATACAAAGGGAAGGTATACGAACAAGAAGAAACGGAGCTGTGGCGATCTTCACGGCCTGCACAGAGATGGGGGGGGAGTTCAGGCTTAGCTAACAGGATTTAGAGAAAATATTTTAGCCAACAAAAGGGATAAAAGGAAAGAAAAAGACGACCTGTATGTCTCTGAACTTTGTGATTTCCAGGTAGCCCAGTCGTCCCTCAGTAAGCAAGAACAAACGTTTCTGTGTCATGGCAATTTTACCAACACCATGGGAAGTCTTAACACAGGATGACAACTTGAAGACACACTCGTTATTGTCAAGGTGGTCTATGACCTCTGAAGGCAGGTTGAAGTTGACATCGTGGGCTTCAGCCTCTGTGTCCTTCCACAAGGTGTAGAAGTCTTTGAAGAGTTCAGGGTCCACCACCGTCAGCCGGCCTTAGCCACAGAGAGAGAGGTACGTGTAGCATGCATGCAGTCAGGTGCAGGCACGCGCACAAACACATACCGTACACAATTACAATTACATACTGTGGCAAAAACTAACAAAAACATAAACCTCCACATGATTAAGCTGGTTCTATATTCAGTCTCTGGTATTCCTCATGTGTTACAAAATAACCATGAGGGAAACATGAAACATAAAATATCAATAATAAAAAGTTCTATTTTACCATCAGTGAGCGCATCAAACAAACAGTGTATGGTCGCCACATCCTTAACGATCCCACACTCCTGGACGCAACGCACAAACTTGTCCTGGCACAAAGACTCTTTGGGAAGCTCAAACTTCTTCACATGGTTGTCAATCTGCACCGATGGCTTCTCAGTCTCTGTCTTTACCTAACAGACAAGACAACATGAGGGCAATCATGAATAATTAAGATGCTGAGTCACATGCACACTGCATATCAAAACTGAGCTTTCCCTCCAACCACCACTTCTGCAAGATGGCAATGATAAATGTCGTCTGACTGACCTTGAGGACGAGTCTCTTTAGTTCAGGTCGCATGTCGGCCTGCTGTATCTCGTCTTGGCGCAATGAATCCACAAGCCACGTGACCAGCTGAGTAGGGAAGATGGCGGTGTCTGTTTTGTAGAGGTTCTGGAAATCACTCAGAGCATCCAGCCGCCGTGAACACAGTGTGTTGATGAAACCACGCAAGTAGTAAAATCTTCAGAGAAAATATCTTATTCAAGTTTCAAGTCCATAGAGTCAGCAACAGCACTAGCTAAGTATTTATTGAGTGGATAAAGAAGATCAACGTGAAGAGGAAGGAATTGGGGAAACAAAGGAAAGTGAACAAAACTGTGACCGTGGAATACCTGGCCAACAGAGCAGAGTTCTCATTTTGGGCAGAGAAGATAGCCTTGCCAAGGTGCTGGGTGAGCTCACTGTAGTAGCTTTGGACAGAGTGGAAGGACAAAGACACTGGGAAGTCTGGGAGTCTAAACATGTGTACGGGCTTAGGAGGACTTCTCACTGTTAGAGAACAGAGTGGAAAATGGGGGAAGGAGAGGACAAGAAGAAGAAGGGAGGTTTCATCACATCCTCAAATATGAAGGCTTGTGTCTCCATGTATACAACATAAAAATCTTTTTCTCCAGTCTCACAAGGTTCAGATGTGACGGTGCTACTCAGCGGTGAGCTTTGTTGGACAGTGATAGTTCGGTGGTCTCTCAAGTTAGGAAGGCTCATCCCCATTCTTTTATTCGGCCTTGTCTCAGGGATGTCGCTCTTTCTCCAGGCTTGAATATCCTTCATGGTGGATCTGGGTAGGACTTTAACCTTCATCCTAGAGAATGCATGAGAGAAATAGTACATTTATATAGTATTTTAACAGCACAAAAAGTAAAGAACATCTAAGAAACAAATTAAAGAGAGGATTAGTGGGGGGGGGTTCACTAGTTTGCCACAGCTTGACATCATTACATAGATTTAACATCTTACTTCTTCATCTCAGAACGACTGCTGTGTTCCATGCGAGCATAATTGTCCATTTTCCTGTTCAGACGATCCTTGAGGAAGGAATGGAAGATGTGCGTCTCCAACACCTACAACACAGTCATAATAATTAGTAAGCACTCAGAGCTGCACTTAATGTCTGCCAACACACCAACCAGCATTTAAAACTGCCACTGAGCATAAATTGTTGCTATGGAACAATTTCACATGAATGTAATATGTAGGAAAGTGAGTGACAGGTGTTTTTTTACATTTATAAGTACATTGAAAGGTCTGGAAAGAGCTGGGACTGTTTGTGTTTACTGGAAATATTTTCTAGTCTGCTGTAGTGCGGGGCTCCATGAACAAAGAGGACAATCTGATGATGAATAATGAAACCCAAGTGAGCAAAAACATCTCCAAATAAGGTTAATATTTACTGTACCTTCTTGTAAAACAGTTGTTCGGCTGGCTCTCTGGTTTTCAGGAACTCTTTACCATTAAACACTCGATGTTCATAGTTCAAATGACTGCTAACATCCCTGTTAAATACATGTGTATATTAACAAAAACTATTTGATTAGATCTCATCCCATCACTGCTGGTTACAACACACAGAACCTGAATATGTTGAAGACAAGCTCCAGTGCAATCCTCTGGATGCTGTGGTTGAGGTTGTGTTGCCACATTCTCCTCTGTGTCCGCTGCTCATTGATGTCAGTGCAGCTCGCATGGTGCCAATGATCCAAGTCAAAATGTATCTGCAGCGACTGACACCTGCAAAATGTACTCAGATTGTACAAACCAGTAGTGGCTATGTCTCCTAATCTTGTGCCTAGTTTGAGAGAAGCTTATCATCCAAAAAGCTCTACAGTGCATTTACACTTCAGCTAATCTGTATATGTACCTAGTTGTGTTTTATATACTGCAATTTAGTAGGTAGTTGGTACAGGGTGTACCTCTGTAAGAAGCAGTGTGCAGCAGATGGAGGAATGCCTGGTAGGTCAACAGTATCAGAAGAAGAAGTGGAGACACTTCCATTATCAATGTTGATTAGGATCAGATCATTTGTTTCCTGGACAAAAGAGTATCAAAATTAAAAACACCTGTCTCATTTGTCTGTTTTTTTCCTTTGTCTATATAGTAAAATTATTAACATAAACTAGAAACCAAAGAACAAATGACCTAAAAATCAACACAAAACAATATTTGACAAACAACAGTAGATTCATATTCCATTTCTATTTTAGTTTGGAAGGTTATGTACCCACAGCAGCAATCTCTGTCAGATGGCTGAGGTGGCAGCCCATGAGGAATGCAGTCGGAGCCATGAGAAAGTCCAGCATGCCTCTGGCCAGAACAGGAACATAAGGGTGCTGCCATGACAGAGGCTGGCATAAAAGTAAGGGAGGAACAAAGATGAGTAGATTTACAGTGGGTGAAGACTACTGCATAAAAGTGACACTGCCTCATTCAAAATTAATTAGCATATTAAAGGAATATAATGTTTACAGTATTATGCTATAACTTTTTTTCACAATTTGCATTCAGTCTCAGGAGTTAATTTCAATATATACCCAGATACACCACTGTGCCCTTCACAGATGTGGAGACACATTTTGAACTAACCTTCAGAAAAAGTAAGAAAATCTCTGCCATCAGTGTGAGTCTGGCCCAGTCTGCAGAAAATAACACCACCTGCTGTTCCTGCAGGAGACAAGACATCACCTGCACAGGGACAGGATGAAGGCCAATCAGAGAAGGAGACATAAAAGTTAATGTGAGCCACCTCCTGCTTCACTATGGAACAGGTGTGTTCAGTACCTGCAGTAGCTGCTGTGGCCTGAAGCAGAGGAAAGGAAGGTGGAGGTCTAAATCTACAGCTGGTTGGTCTTTGTCTTCTCCGGATGGTAATACGATGGTCAGAGGATCTAATGTAAACATCTGGAAAACACAGAACATTACTGCTAGCGCTGTTTGTCAGTAGATGAGGATGCAGTGAAAATAAATGTTCTGTAAATTATTGGCTATAGATCTGAATCTAGTGTAATAGAATGCGTCTAAACAAAGTCTGTAAACACACACACACACACACACACACACACCAAATGTAGGTGTCCAGGAGGTGGGACGGGCACAAGTGTCAGTTTGGCTGCAAACTCCTTCACTCTCTCCTCCATGTCTGATAAATGGCAGGTTCTCAGCTGGATTAACAGACTTAACAAAGACACAAGGAGAATGATCTCTTAACACACTGATCAGTGCATAACTGTCACTTTGTAGGATAAAGTACAAGACAAATGACTCTTTACAGGCAATCTTAAAATACCAGTGAAGCAATATTTCAGGTAAAACTGGATTTAGCCTTTTGATAAATGCATCTTAGTACTCATTCATAAAAGAAATGTGTCTAAACAGAACATGAACAAACTAACTTTGATTTGTTTTGCAGTGTAAAGCAAATCCAATTTAAAACAGCCAAGCGGTTTGGTTTAGTTCACTGTCTCTCACCATGACAGGCAGTCTCTGAGCACAGTGAAGTAAGGATACTTGGATATGACACAGAAACTGTAGGCAGAGAAATGTTTAGAAAACTTGGAGGATCCAGTTCCATTCTGGTAGAAAGATGTCCCTTCCTGTAAAAACACAAGAAAGACAATTCCAAAAGTGACTTTCTGTCATTTAAGGCCTAGTTAGTTTTATAGCACACTGTGGCCATCTTATTTGTTGACACATGCTAGAGGCACATTTGGTCTGAAATCTGGTTGTAGCAGTACAACACAATTTGTGCTTGGAGTAGGTGTTGTGTGTAAAGTATTATATGCAGCACTGTGTACCACTATTGGTCGGTAACACTGCATTACTGCTCCATGGGTCTTGTTCCCAAAGACATCCGTGAAAACCAGGAAGTGGAACTGTGCTTCTCTCCATTCACTGGTTACATGGAGCCCACCTGGTAAAAAGAGAAAAGATACGTCAGCATGATATGTTATAGTTACAAGATGTCAAGTCTGTGCACTGCATGTAGTGCTTGCAGAAGATATTATGTCACAAAACTCAAAGCAGAAGACCAAATACCAGGGAAGCAGAGTTGAGGTAAAGCCATGAGGTCAATGTCATTAGGTACAGTGACATCTTCACTTCCTCCTTTTCCTACTGCTTCTCCACCTGCAAAGATACCAGTGGCTAAAACATTATATAACAAAACTGTACCATTCTCACACTGATGGCAGAGAATTTAAAAGTTTCATACAGAACACGAGATGTTTGTGGCTACGCAGATGTTCCATAACTGAAAACAAACTAAGACCGCAGTTATATGTCACAGACCTTGGCATGCAGCAGCTGAAAGAGGATGTTCCCCCTTCTTCCTGATAAAAGAGCGCCGTTTCTTCCAGTGTGACCTCATTGCTTCACCATCAGGTTCTGGTCTATGAACAAAGGGAGGTGCCAGGACATGCAGTATTTCCGGCTCCAATAGGAGGTCCTCTGGAGTTCCATTATTGCTGATGGCCTGAGTGGAGGATAGGAAGATAAGGACCAAGAAGACCTCTAGGCTTATTATAATTAGATTTGATACATGTTATATTAATGAAACGGCCGGTATTCCACATATTCTTTGTACTGCACATTCCCATGCCTCGGTTTTAAAAGAGGTGGAACACATATATGATTTTGAAATGATTAACTGATCTTGAAACAATGTGGCTTTTTAGCCTCTTTAGCATCAGGACATTAGCATGACAATATGTCAGTCTACTGGTGTCTAATACAGTAAAGTTTTTTATATGAAAATATGTAGATAATATTCAGCTTTTTCTTTTTAATAAAACAGGAATCACAAAAAACCCCTCACAAATCATGACAATATTAGCAAAACTAAAGTGATTTTCATGACATAAAAATCATGATCCTTTGTATTGCAGGATGATGGCCCAAAAAACTGAAAGGGGCTGCAAATAAAAGTGATGACAGTATTACCACAACCGGTTTTCAGTATACATAAGTCACACGTCTTGTAAGTATGACAGGAAGCAAATACCTGGCAAACCTCCTGGAGTTTGTCACGAGACGCTCCTACCACCACACAGGCTTCCAGGAGAGCAGGCAGATGGTCTGTCATCACTACTTCAGCCCAGGGACCAACTCAGACAATCACTGAAAGCCATAGAGAGGAAACAGAGAGAGACAAAGGTTTACATTAAGAGACACGCATATAAAGAGGAAAACAAACACTTTACATTTACTTTGGCTTGTTTGTTCAGACAGTTGTTACATTTAGAGTAGATACTTTATTGATCCCACAGTGGGGAAATTTCTGTGTTACAGCAGCAATAGAGAACAGCCAACATAACACCATAAGAACAGAGACCACCATAAGAACTGACACATAAGAACACAACTTCATAAAAACACGGAAAAGAACACAACGAGGACACAGCTGCTGTAACTTGCTGCCACTCCGTGCAGCGCATGTGTACATAGTAACTGTTAGGTATTTTCTTAGTTAGATAGATATTGATTAGAGATCTGTTGTATTAGAAAATGTTAGTGTAGACAGGATGTCTAGCTCAGGCTGTTAAATGCTTAGTTCATTGTCATGAGCTTGCTGCAGGCTGCATGTGGGTCTTCATGTTTTGACTACTGCTCTGGTCAGCTGCATAGCTGGCATATCAGGTGACGTCACGGTTTGACGTGGCCTGTGTAGGATGGGGCTAGCCCAACGAAGTGATTAAATTGTATAGAGATCTTGGGTTCAGGGTCTTTCTTCTTCCGGGCTGCCTGCGCGCAGCTTTGGGGGTGGAAGATGCCTGGACGTGTAATGTTAATTCTTGCCTGTGACCCTTTGAATAAACCAGCACGGTTATATTTTTTTATATACTCAAGTGGTCCGCTTCGTCTCACTGAGTTCCTGGTTTGAAAGAACCGGACGTGGCTTTATAATAGAATAGAGCCTTTATAACAAAGAACACTTAGTCTTAAAATAAAAAGTTACATAAAGGCAACAAAGCATTAGAACGATATACACAAGTAGCGTCATCAGAACATTACATTATACACAGCACAAATAAGCAAATCAAAGGCACCTAAAAACAGGGCAAAGCAGCACTGGAGAGAATCAGGAACAGCAGTAGAGACTAAACAACATTTCTCTCAGGGTGTAGAATTACAATATCCCCACAGAACCAGAAGCGAAGTTGATTTTATTACATCAGAGATTACACAGTACAGCATCAATATTTCCCATATTTCTTCTTGCAGCACAACATAATGTAACTCAGGATATATGAAGTAACTCTACAGTGAACCGGTCTTCAAACTTCTCTCCATGGCAGAGGTTCATATGCCAACTTACAATAATTTAATAAATTTAACTATAAAACAATTAGGAAACTTCCCTTATTGTTCTTACAATAAATTCAAAATTACCCAACACCCATTACTGTTAAGTTTTATTCTTTGATTGCATTACAATTTCTGCATTTATCTATTGTATGCACTGTGCCAGGCTATTTACTGTGTGTATCTGCCTTTATAACATATAACACAGTATTGTTCCCTACATATCAGTTTATTTTTTTATTGGGTTCCTAGAAATCCATGTGACTGAAAACCCACTGATTCACTGCTTTAAACTGTGGGGAAATTGCTGACATAAAATAAGATGTTGCTGCCTATAATCCACTCTTTCTTCACAGCTGAGCCACCACAGTGAGGAGCCAACATGTTTAATCACATTTCCCATGCAACAGACGGTTTGATCTCAGCTTGGGAAACTAGGCTGGTGTGTGTGTGTGTGTGTGTGTATAGGACGGACACATTCACACAAAACAGACCTGAAACTGAGCCACAACGCATGGGCCACCTTAAAAACACTTTCACATTTAACTGAGGTCATGAAAAAAAGCTGCAGCTCCTTTCTAGAAAAATCGTTAAACCAAATGATCCAGTGAGTGTTCAGGTAAGACCTCCGTCACACCAGGATCCCAACAAGCAGCAGCTTGCATGTGCAACAAAGTAACATTCTGTAGTTCTGTTTCCGCCCACAGACCTACATGGTCTATGCAGAACAAAAGGTTTAGTAAATAATTTAGAGTTTGGCAAAGTTTTCCAAATTAGTTTGTATTTTAAAACTGTTTTATTGCAGCTGTTTCATGTGACTGCGTCATGCAAGAAGGTGCATACCGTCAAACTCCACACCTGAAACACGACTCTGCTATTAAAGTAAGACACACACGCACAAGTCAATAAATAAGTTATCAATAAGTGTCTCTTTCAGGTCACTCACCTCCTCACAGACTTCCGTGCGCTCCACATTCATTTCACTATGACATTATCGATGACGCCGGAGCTCAACTCGACAAAGTTCAGCAATGCAAAATGAAACACAATCGTCCCAGCTCCCACGTTTGCTTCCTGTTTGTCTGTGTGGAAACACAGTCTTGCGCACTTATGATTTGAGGAAGCACGATTCAGTATAGCGGAATACTAAGAGAGACGACAAGACTTTGTATGGAGTCATATCTGTTCATTATTAGGCTCTGTATTAATGAATAATTTCTAAAGAGTCATTTTGAAAACCAGTGAAAACTCAATTGACTAAAACACTGAGCCGTGTTTTCAAATGAGAGTAGGTATTAACTGCTTTCTACATCTCAACACATACTGTACAGTTGTAATATCTCTAACAAAAATTATTGAAGCCATGTGACGTTTATTAAATATTTAAACTGGTGACATATCAGATGAAAGCATAAGATCTAGATGATCTAATTTCATTTTCGGTTAAGGAGATACTTGTGTGAGTACAAAGACCACTTCAAATAACTTTTATGGCAGAGTATTGTCGTGGCAAGAGTGTGATACCTACTAAATTAATTCAGACAAACCATTACAATTCAAATGATCATTTAATATTACAATTATTCTGAATAGAGTAGTATTTAAACAGATAATCTTGTAGTTAGGGAACAGAGAACAGATGTCAGTGAACAGAGACTCTCCTCTTGCAATGGAATAGATAAAGCCTAAGAAGATTGTTAAAGCACCAGTCAGTCAGGTCATTTGTTGCAGTCCCGAGTCAGCGTCTTCCCCAGCCGGCTGGGACCCCCAAAAGGTACATGGTCTACTGCAGCGTGGTGGTCCCCCTCTCTCTCCCAGGCTCACTCCTTTTATCCGCAGCCTCCCTTATGCTGTTGCGTCTATTTCTGAACCTAGCTTCCCGTCTCCAGTTTCGGGAGACAACACCCTGGGATGTACTTCGAAAACAGGAAACATCTTGTTCCTGACCACTTACATAAACCCATGGTCCAACTCACATGTACTTAATGAACCCATAACCACTCAGCTCAAATAAGTACAAATAATGTCTATATGTGAAGTACATACTGTTCTATTGCATAGTTCTTCTGGAATCTGATTTATTTTTTTTAGCCACCACAGTCCCCCCTTCCGTAGTTTTTAAACTATGGAACTTCAGAGCTCAGGATAGGGAAAATCAAAATATGACCATGTTGGCCTGAGACTTTAACGCCTCTAAACTCTAACAGCTGTAGTTAAGCACTGGCCTCTTCCTACAGCTAAAATTAAATCTAAAATAATTTCCGTATTACAAAACTAACAACTCCCCGATAAACCTTTAACCTTAACAGAGTCTTCCTCACATACCCTAATGAAACCCAACTTAAACAACTCAGTCAGTCAAGTCTCTAACATCTCACACCTTTGCAGAGTCAGTAGTAATTAACTATGGTGAACAAATCAACTGTATAAAATAACACATAACTTCCCATTCATAACAGTCAGACAAATGAACAAACATGAACATAAAAGTAAACAGAAATAAACAAAAATAAACAACCAGCATGAGATAACTGTTCCCC